AGCTAACAGCTAGCGGGGAACACGTTGTTTGTATCAGAGCAATGAGAGACGTGTCTTTCCCCAAAGTGCAGCGGCTCAGTGGGACACGAGTGTGTGTTCTGGCGATTTAAATAAAGTCTGATTCTTGACCGTTTGAAGTGTTATTGCAACAGCACCAACTGTGAGAGCGCGCATCAGGCCAGAGGGAGACTGTTAGCATTAGGTTAGCTTCAAAATGACTGTTCAACACCATAGACCCGCGGGTAGCGCGTTAGCGCTGTAGTTCTGCGATGGAGAAAATAAAAAATCGAATTTTAAAAGAAAAGAAATCGCCCTAAATGTAAAAAACTCGAATTAATGATTAAAATCGATTAATTGCCCAGCCCTAACTGAAGCCATGAGTTTTGTGAAGCGACCACTCACTTGCGAACGGACCAAAATCTGTCACCTTATGTTTTGTTTTTAAACACAGGATTTGTTGTAATCATCCAGAATTTTAACTGTTACACCACCGATTGTTAGCGTATATTACGGGAATTCAGCATGAATTATCTCTAAAAAGTGCCAATTGCAATTTGTTGTTGTTCAAACTTACATGAGCGGTCGCTTTGGTGACGAATGTGAACCCAGGTTTGGTCAGTCGCTCGTGTTTCCTCCGTGCCCGCCTCTGCCGTCCTCTGGCCCCGTGTGAGCTTGAGAGGCCCTCTGCCTTTAACGCCTCCTCCGGTAACAGTCCTTCGACCCATGTCGAGCACACAGTCTTTCCGCCGGGCTGTGGAAGTTTTTCAAAGTCCGCAGGAGGCCCAGGTAGCCCAAAGCGTTAGCATGTGGTCCATGAGGGTTGGTGAATAACCAAACGTGCCGGTCACAATGGCTTCTTCTGTTTGCGGTGCGGGAACAACTTTCAAGGGGGTTTCCGCGGGTGCGTTTGGTATATCACGCTGCCCCCCTCCGTGGAGAACAGTCACGGGATTTGGAGCAGTTTCTCTCTGTGCTCCAAAGCAGTTGTCGGTGTCTCACATATTTGCGTCCCCCACTTCTTCTTCTGTGGTTTCCTGAGCGTGTGTCTGTTTCCGCCTCTTCTTCTTCTGCGGTTTGGGCCCACTTCTCGCGGGGTCTCAGCTGGTGCGGGCGCCGCCTGTGGTTGGGGCGTGGGGCTGGTGCTTTGAGGCAGAGGGCAGAGCGCGGAGGAAAAACGCCGACAGACCTGGATAGGGACAGGGAAAAGAGACAACAGTAGTCTGCTTCATTTTTTAAAAACCCAAAGCCTTGTTTGGGTGCACACTTATTGTTAGTAGGGGAAAAAGGGGCGGTAGGGTGGGGGTGTGTGGGATGTGTGTGTGTGTGTCCGCGTGTGTGTTCTCCGCTTCGGTGAAAAGCGGAGGAGCTATTGTTTTTACATATTTCTTTCTCTAACGTCTTTTGCCGTGATATTCTTAAAACCAAGTATATTTTTTTTCTTCCCTTCTTCTTCTAAATGATCACGCAAAATGCGTAATGGCCTGCACCATAGGCAAGCACTCCATAGCTTGCATCTTCTAGATTGATTTTTACCCATTTTCTCGTACGAACAATGGGCCTAACCCGCTTAGTTTCTCCCTGCTCCTACCCACTTTGGGGCGCTCCGTTCCCCCCCCCGCTGGTTCAACCAGCGAGCGCGCGTTCTTGAAAACGGAGCGGTTCCGGCTGAAGACACTCAGAGATTCCAGGGTCGCTTACAGAGCGATACTAACGCGCAGCCGCTAGCTTCAATCTAGGACAAAAGCCCCCAAAAATCCGGCACACAGTCTATGCTGTGGCAATGCATGAAATACCCCAAAAATACATAAATAAACAAATCCCCGTGTACACTTAAGTGCTCGTTACGCAGATGAAAAGACAAAACTCACCAAGTTAGGTTCTTTTTGGTCTTGTGTGGCAAAAGGATTCCTTCCGTGCGCGGGACGAGCGCGCCCTCCTTTGTCTCCAAAAAGGAACAGAGGCTGGTGATCCAGGTCGGCCAAACAAAGCCGCTCGTCCCCGCCGAAAGTATCCATGCCAAGACATGTCAGCAACGCCAAATTGTTATAGAATTATATACCCCAAAGCAAGGAGAAAGCCCAAAAGTATTTGTCTTAATTCAGGAGCGTAAGTTTATTGTTAACGCACGTGCGGAGAGTCGGCACACACGCACAGAAGGCAGCATGTAGCAGCTCTGGGGGCCAGAGCCCCGAGCTTCCTGTATACATAGACACACATGAGAGACAGTCACGCCCACAACCGATCGGAGGGGGGCCACCGGTGAAGGAGGCGCATAGGAAAAGCGCAGGCGCCATGCCCCTGTGGTGAGGCAATCAGACACAGGGCATGGAGATGCGAACAGACTGCAGGAAGTAGAAAGTGCACACATACAGACCGATACATATGCAGGAGGTGAAAGGGGGCAAGAGTGATCGCCATTGTCTGTAGGTGTCGGGGGGGGCCCGGCTCCTTCCTGGAGCAAGGGCATATGGATAGAAGCAGGCATACAGATTCAAGATACGAAAGACACAAGGGTGTGACAAAGAGCAGGGACCTTCACAAAGCTCAGCATGGCGTCAGAAGGTAGTCTCTGCATTAAAAAGACCTTTTACGTCCGTGTATTTGCTGCGGCTGGTTTTAATGTGATTACTCTAAAGACTGTCACCACAGGGCTCATATTGTTTCTCAATTATTTTGTGTTGAGTGTTTCCTCTGCCTGTCTTCCTACTGCCTAGTATGTGCTGCAACATCTTGATTGAAGGTTAATTATCTTAGAATTGGTCAAAACCACTGGACTGGCAGGCCATATCATGAAGCTGAGCAATACAGGGGCTGGTCAGCACTGACATAGATGGGGTCCTTCTGGGAACACCAGGTGCCACAGTAGATTGCCTGTTGCTGCAAAGTGCCAAACTGTCGTTGTATCCTTAAACAAGACACTTAAATTTACTCTTGTGTCTGTGTGTGTGTGTGTATGTGTGTGTGTGTGTGTATGTGGACAAAGGGCGTGGCTTCAGTTGAAGTTTACCAGCACAGTGATGCCAGTCCACTTTATTTAACTCCTGCACTATAAATACTTTACTAATGCCGTTTCATAAATCACTTGTGTCACTGCCACCACTCAACACACACTGGATTCACCCACAGTTGAATAAATTATTCTATCCCTGAACACAGGTGCCATCACAGGTAAATGCCTAATAGAGGACAATGACAGCCCGGGCTTCTGTGAGGTTGAAGGATGGTGTCCGACTGAAAAAGAGGCTTTCAAAACGTGAGTTCCTACCTTTATGAAAGGTGTGTAATCAACAGGCATGGTCATTTTATCTATTTCCCTGTGTAGGACACCCATGTCTGATGTCCAAAACTTTACTATCTTCATCAAGAATAGCATTAATTTTCCTCTTTTTGACGTCACCAGGTACAAGTCACTCAGAGAGGCTTTTTACCTAGACGCTGTTTTATGTTGTTAACTTCATTTCAGAGGCAATTTCCCATCGACCATGAAGTCTGACGAGATCAAAAAATGCACTTATCACCCAGAGAACAGCCCCTTTTGCCCCATTTTCAGAGTGGGGGACATTCTGAATTATACAGGGCAAAGCGTTGAGGAAATTATCCAGAAGGTCCTGCCACACACACACACACACACACACACACACACTAACACAAACACACGCACACACACACACACACACTTGCATTGGAGAACATTAACCTGTACCTGTCTTCATTAGGGAGGAGAGATAGGCATCAACATTGAGTGGAAATGTAATCTAGATCTCGACCTGGAAAACTGTGTCCCACTCTATTCTTTCACACGACTCGACAAACCCTTTGAGAAGAATGCCATCTCTAAAGGATACAACTTCAGGTTGCGACTTTTCCTCTTGTTATGGAATATTCACATTTGGCATAGATATCACTCAGATTGTGCAAAAGACAGAAGTGTGCAACATATTAAAGGTTAAAAGTATAGTCTGTGCAGGATATAATTATGTACAGTAAAAAGTTGTAGGAGCTTAGACCTTCATGCTGTTCTGTGTAATAACCCCTAATGAGTAATGTATTTTGTTTGATTATAAGCAGATTTGCCAGATATTACAAATCAGAAAATGGCACAGAATATCGCACTCTCTATAAAGTCTTTGCCATCCGGTTTGATGTCATTGTAACGGGCCACGTAAGTTTAAATAAACACAGCTTTTGCTTTGATTTTTGATACATTTTATTACAGACTTTTGTGGTGTAGGCAGGAAAGTTTGACTTGGTTCCAACGATCATAAATGTGGTGGCTGCTTTGACATCTGTTGGACTGGTAAAGTTACAAGTTACATTCATATTATTATTATAATATCATAATTCATGTTTCCAAGCATCTGTGTTTCTAGGGTACATTTCTCTGTGACATCATTTTGCTCAACTTTCTGAAAGAAGCTGACCAATACAAGGCTAAAATGTTTGAAGAAGTAAGTAACTATGGTCTGAGGCCTGTTGCTAGAATCTGGTTGAACTAACTCAGCAGTTACTTAATCCAGACAATGCGAATGCCAAATATAAACGTTCTCTGTCAACTCTGAGTCAAACTTTGTCAGTTTGAGACTGGCACTAGAATCTGGGGCCTGCACAGGGGATCTGTAATGAGGAATTTTACTTCCTGAGCCATGAAAGCTCCGTCCACTTCATTTAACACCCAGTTAGAAAACCTAAATCTGCCTTATGGTGAAGCGGCCTAACCTAACCTACAGTAAATTATTATGGGATTAAAGATGAAAGTACTTGTGAAGTACTTCTAAACCATAAAACTAGACCTCAACCGGTGGTCTGACCCTGGTCCAGAGCAGAGGACTGTGTGGAGGCTGTTCCTACGGTGACTCACACTAAACTGAACCTAAACTCAGAGTTCACTCAAACCTGAATTTACCCCAAATATAATCAAAGCCAAACCGGCTTTGAGCAGCAGGCCTCAGGTGCACGTGAAAACCCTGAGGCATATGTTCTGACATGTTCTTTTCTTTTAGGTCACGCAGGCTCAGATCGAGGCGTCTTTGGCCCAGAGTCCAGGCAGCCAACTATCGCTCAAACGTGGGATCAAGAGCTCACTGGACTCTGGGATGCCCTCTCTCTCCATCTCAGACCAACATGTGTGACTGCAGGGCACAGCCTGTAAATACATTGGTAAATACATAGCTATTGGGTTTTGCTCTATAATAATAATTATTCCTAAAATGGCTTGTGGCATGACTGATTTGACAAAACCTTTGTTTGGAAAGCATTATTGTCATATAGTCAGACGGATCATTTTTTGTTTGTGTACCTAAAGCCATAAATTAGAGGGGGGAGTACATGGAATTTTAAAGTTCCTTCTAAGATGTGATTTGTCTACTAACAAATCATCTTTACTTATTACACACATAAATGTCGATGGTGGATTGTATTAAACATGTTTTATTAATAAACTCAATAGAAAACAAATGTGATGCCAAAGATTTATTTTTAAATACACACATCATCTCTCTCCAAATAGAAATAAATTAACTTTTTTAATGAGAAACATAAAATGCTTTTTTATGTTTCCCATCCTAATTTACCTCCTGTTTTGCATGTACAGTAAATTCAAAGTCTTGTTTTGGTATTATGTGGTAGAAGTGCTCTTTGTTATAGGCGGCGTACTCATGTCTGACATAATAATAATTCTGCATCAGCTTCTGTGGCCAGGACCATGACAGATACAGGCTCTCTTCAGCCTTTAGATAATGTATAACAATGTGAACAAATGCTTTTAAACTGTCCGCTATTAGTAAGTGTTAGGGTTAGGGTGTTCTTGCATCTATAATCAGAAAGCTCTATATCTCCTGCTCACTTTCATTGAATAAAAATACTTTGAGGACATTTCTATCCCACATAGCTACCTGTAAGAATGGAACTGACAATGAACAATATTCAAATGAACAAATACTAAAGTGATTATATATTTAAAGAGATTTGCCTTGATTTATTTGAACTTATGTTAATTAACCTATTAAGGGCTGTAATTAACTGTGTTAAATTCTATTCTTCTGTCGCGTAGTCTTTCGACCAATGGAAAAGGAGCCACCAGAGAACATCTTCATAAAGACATTTTATAACAAAAGGTTATTTGCTGGAAAAAAAACAAAACACATTTACATTGCTTATTATTATTCAGTAAGTACACCTCTCTCTTTGTAAATAACCTGTTCACAGCATGTTTTAGTCTTTGTTTCTGTTTTTGGGTTAATGTTTGTAACTAAAAAATATATATTTCGGTAATCCAGCATTTTTACCCAAAAAAGTCCTGTTCAACATGGTTTGAATACGACGCTACCTTGAAGGCACTGCTACGTACTGATGAAGTTGCACAACAGTCACTATCTGGGCTCTTTCCCCGTGTTTCGTCTCTTTAGGGCTCGTATCCAGCCGGGCAGCGCAGCCCGGCGGCCTGGTGCTGCCTGCTCCGGTCTGACTGCTCGTATCAGCGCTGGCTCAGTTTGCACCTCATTGTCCTCCTCCAGGAAAGAGTTGTCCAGTAACACCTCCTCTGACTCCTCTTCTGACTCCTCTTCTGACTCCTCCTCTGACTCGGACACAGCTGGGCCCAGGTCCGGAGGCTCGATGGCAATAATCTCTTCTGAGAAGCGCACGTGCCGAGTCTCCTCCACACGCCGCTGAAGAACATAGCTCTCATATTACATATACACAAATAGTTTTGGCCTGAAATAGAACAATCACCATATTCCTTTTCAAGTTACCTTTTTCTGGACTGTTTCCACTGAATAGGTCGAATCACAGGAAAGTGTTGATTTGAGAACACCGCGAAGAGGAGGTGGTTTGGTCATGGATGAAGATGAAGGTGCATGGTTATCTGGCAAAAATACTGATCCATCTACAAATACAGAGATATGCATGAAATAACCGTTGCAGTATGTGAGAGCCAATAACTGCCTTACCATCTATGGTGACGTTTCCATTTGTTTGCACACTTTGGAACCTTGTCTCTATGCTTTCATATGACTGGTGCTGTCTTTTCCTGCCGAGGCTGTTTCTACTTCGCAGAGAGGAGTTGTCCATTGTATTTTTCAACTAAAATATATGAGAAAGGTGTTGGAACATTGACCTGAAACGGCATTTCTTTGTAAAAGCAGCAGCTTACCTCTATTTTGGTGGAGCGTTGAGGCTGTGGCTGCTCTTCACTGACTGGAATCTGCACATCAGACATGTTTTGTCCATGGTCCATCAGCTCTGACTGTGAGTGTGTTTTCTCTGTGATGTCCATGCTGATGAGAGGGTCAGAGGACACCTGTGTCATGGCAATGTCTGTGTTTGAGGCATCTCCATTTGTCCCAGCCTCATATGCTGTACTTCCAACGTCATGTTCACTCCATACTGAGCTCCTTTTAGATCCTCCACCATTGTAATGATTAGTCGCTGTTCGGTCCACAGCTTCTTGTAAAGAGACTTCCTGATTTGATGCAGTGGAATCTTTTTGTAAGAAGTTGGCCCATTCTTGACCATTGGCAATATCCTCCAATAGACTAATCTCCCCTAAACCAAGATCAAAATCTTTTGAAAATCTGAAAGGAATATAAAGAAAATTTAAAAAATGCATTTACATGAAGCAAAAACTGTAGATACATTTAAAGGTGTGCTTGTTTCTTGAATGTCATAAAATGTCCTTACCACCCACGGTAATAAACATAGGTATGTGTGTTAACATCCCAGGAATACCTATCATATTTCTGCTTCACTTGCAGCTCAATCTAATAATATTTCCCTGAAGCGCAATTACATTACACAATGTGTGGAAATGGCTTTTACTTTTACCTCATGCTTTCATCATATACATTCACTGTCTGTAATTGGAGGTGGTCTTTTCTGTCATCCACAGTGCGAGTATTTACTGACTCCTCAATCGAAGACACATGTGAGGGTGGCTCGTACTGAGGTGTATTCTGAGGGACACAAAACATTACAACATCATATCAAAATACATTCTGAAATAAGTAATGAACAGATGCGCGAGTTTAACATTTACCTCCAAATTTGTGTTGCCAGCCACTCTTTCTTTTTTGCCAAAACTACCAGGTCTGTCTCGCCACCTCTCCTTTATTTTCTGCGTCCATTTGCGTGGTTTACTCTTTGAAGATTGCTGTTTTCTGTTGCTTGTTGTATTTTGACTGTCAGTCGCAGTCTGTGCAATTTGTCCTGTGGCCCTAAACACATTCTGGGTCTCTGCGCTCCCACTGGACCATGCGTACACTTTTGGCACAAAGCTTCTGTTTTCGTTCCGCTTTTGTTCTGTCTGCGATAAATCCACATTTTCAAATTTGGAACGAGGAAAACCTCCGTCAGAAGAAACAGGAGAAGAAGAAACATAAGTAGATTTAGGTGAAAGCTGCTGGATGTTACCAGAGACATCACTGTCTACAGAGTCACTATTCTGTAATCTCCCATTTACAGTCATGTTATTTCCAGGTGTCAATCCATTGATAGGGCTGTTGCTGACTGTTTGTAAATCTTGAGATTCACTGTGTATGTGTTGTCCTCCTGTTGGAACATGAATATTTGTGGTCCCAGGTTGAAGTTTCAGCCTCTGCAACATGGACTGCAGTAAGGCCTGGTTGTCTTTTGGATTTTCAGCTTGAGACATCTATAAAAACCAAAACAAAAAGATGAAATGGGTTATTATTTTAAGACATTATGACACAGAAAGAAAACAAGCACAAAAAAACAGTTACTCCAAATAAATACACCCAAAAAAACAGCAGTGAAGTATTTGTATATTCCTGAACATTGACTTTTCTCACCTCAATGCATGTCCATAATTTTCAGATGCAACTTTTTGGCAATAGTTTGGCTTCAGTCATTCCTGTTTCACAAAAAGCAGCATGTAAACTTCATTCCTCATTGTTTTTTGTAAATGTTTGAGTTTGAAAAAGAGTTATGTCGGTATTCCGGTGCCAAATTTGGTGCGTAGTTTCTGCCTCTAGTCACAGCAGTCATTTAAGTGAGTGGAGATGGGAGGAGAATTGGTGCAGCAGGGTTCCTCGAGCTGAGGCCGAACAACGAGAAAGACCAGTGAGGTGAGATAATTGTGCGTTGACATTCACTCCTTCTTTGGTGCATCTCTCTTTAACCCTGCCTACTCGCTCGTCTCTGACACAAACACACCCTCATGACTGCACGCGGACAGGTGCATTGTGACCAAATTATGTCAGGAATGATCCATTTAAACTGGGACATAAATGCTATCGAAGCATCGTGTTTCACCTGTCACATTGTAACATAACAGTAATAAGCCTTTTATAGCTGTAGTCAAATAAGCACTAAGAGTAAATTAAAACAAACATGACAGAGAGCTACCCTTTTTAACAGTTAGTCCTTTATAACTTTGACTTTGGAACAAGATCTGGGTTAAGTTTAATGCCTTTGAATATCAAACCATTGTCCATTCATTACACCAAAGCAGGCATCAAAATCATAGATTAGCAGTCAAAATAAAAAATAAAATTTAAACATGTTTATTTATTTCAACCATGCCGAGAATAAAATATTCACCGACAAAAATAATAGTAAAACATACATTGTACATTTCTGTGAATGCTACTTCCAAAACTTTATTTCAAAGTATTATTTTATCTTCTAGTTCTGTGTTCCCCAACCTTTTTTAGTCGTGGCATGTGTTTTTAATTTTAAAAAAATAAAAAATGAAAAATACAATGTTTTGTATTCAGAATGTTCAAAATGCATTGGTTTTATACAGCGCTTTTTTGGACACTCAAACATGCTTTACATGTCATTATTCTTTCACCCTTTCACTCCATACACAGTGATGATAAACTAATACTGTAGTCACAGCTGCCTCCAGGGCACACTGACAGCAGCGAGGCAACCAGTATGTGCCATCGGCCCCTCCGAGCACCACCAACCTTAACAAAGTAGCATACAAAGTTTTATATTATTCAATTACACTGGGATTTCTTGTGACTAATGCAGTGGTGTTCTTTCATTTCTAAAAGCACACCGAACAATAGGCTTACTAACGAGTCTGCAGTCTTCTTCTACATTTCAAACAGAATGTTTAGTGGGAAACTGGAGAACCAGAGGGAACCGACGCAGATATAAGAGAGCGTGTAGACATAACACTGGGTAACAAAAAAATATTTTTTGAAAATAGTCCAGGGTTTTCCAGCTGAATTAGACTAATTTTGATGCTCTGAGTCCGAAAATGACCCTAACCCTTGGTTTTGCTCAATCAGGTCAGGATTTTTTGCTACAGAAATATTTTTTAAAATCGATTTTGCGTAAAAAAAAACAATTTCTGCGGATCATCAGCTGAGAAACCCTTGACGTTTTTTTTTCCGTTTTCCTCAAGAAATACAAGTCAACGTATCCAAAGTCATTCCGTTTTTATTTACTCCATCAAATTTGATAAGCAGAATTCATAATAACGTAGACGTACATAATCCGTAACACTATTGCGGTATCTCAAAAAGTTGACCTGATAGAGCAAAATGCATGTAATATTCGGACTCAGAACACCAAAATTAGTCTAAATCAGTTGAGAAACCCCTGACCATTTTTTGGCTGTCAACTTGTGTAATAGATCCATGGTGCAGACTCCACTGAGAAAGTGCCGCCTGGGAGTCGAACCACGGAAGTTCTCATGAGGTAAAAAACATGCACTCTTCATCATCACTCTTCTTCGTGGACCCCCTCCATCCACGCGCTCATGCTCAAGGCGCGTGCGTAATGTCCAAGCCCCGTTTTCTGATTGGACGAAAACACGGAAGTCCGTTATGGCGGCGTAAACAAGGCTCACGAGCATAAACTGGTAGGAAAGATGTTATCAAAAACCCGCGGATCATGCAGCAATGCACACATTCACCCCGTTCCTGAGTAGACTTGTAGATTACAACATTCTCAAGCGCGTTCGACTAAAATCTCGCAAAAGTTATCAGATAACTTTCCTCCAAGAGAATGGACTGCGTCGTCACGGGAGGAAACGTCAAAGGTAAAGGCGGTTAAACTTTGACAAAGTTTTGAGCCCGAATGTTGTATTTGACTCACCTTTCTCATATGAAGTGTTGGCCAAAGCTGTGCAGTCCTTGTCCCGTATCGGAGATGAGCTGTACGTGGAACCTCAGGAGGATGGGGTACGCTGCTGCTGTCATCCACAGACACTTCCTCTTTCAAACCTACTGTCTCTGCTTCCTGTTGGTTTGTCAAGGAACAGCATTGATGCTTGATTTCTCTGTCTCAGCTCGCCCTGCGGTCTGTCAACTCGTCTCGATCTGCCTACGCATGTTTCCTGTTTGCACCACTCTTCTTTAGCAGGTGCAACATATAAATCCGTGAATGTTTATGTGATGAGATTAATGTACAAGCACCTATTCAAACATTTGAGAACTCACCTTATCAGTATAATTAATTACCTCTGTTCTGTCTATTCAAGGTACACAACAGACAGTGGCCATTGCTTTCGCTGCAAGATGGCTATAAAGGTGTCTAATTTGAATATTTTTCAACACCTCACATTATTTTTACTGATTACAAGGCGATCAACTGTATGTGTACTTTTAGAGTGTGCAAGCAGTGTTCAGATCTTTAGCAACTTTGGAAAAAAATGTGGAGAGGTGTCACGTGAAGCTGGACGAGCAGAAGAGTCGCCTCACATTCACTCTGCACTGCAAGCACGGTATTCTTTTACCCTGCGTCAACAAAATAGTTTAATCGCAACCGCAACCACTTCAACAATGAGTATCTTTGTCATGTATTTGTGGATATTCCCTAGGCCTACTGAAGACACATAACCTGTCTTTCCAGGACAGTGAAAGTTTGCAAGCAGTATTTGATAAAGACGCCTCTGCCAATATATTCAAAGCCCAGCCCAGGTATGTGCACCAATGTTAGAAAAATGGGGCAAAATGACGTCAATGTTATTGTATTTGTTTTGGCTATGACAAGGAAAAAACTGATGTTTTGGTTTTGCTGATCAAATTGTCTAGCTATATTTTATTTCCTTTCATCTTTGGAATTTACTGTAGTAAGTTAGATTTCTTTTTAAAGATATTAATTTGCATTAAAATCTAACGGTATAAAGTCTGTAAAAGATGATGCTGACACTAGCCCAAGGCACAAGACTCACTGTCATCCAGCCATCTTCAGCTCTGCTACACATTTCATACATCATTGTAAAGCTTAGAACCTCTAGAATTCATTATTTTGTGAAAAATAAGCAATCATTATTCGGGCAACTTCTGCTCCACTAAATCCTTGACAAATGGTCTTTGATCGTACATCAACAATTAAAAAGAATATTTTTTAAATACACACATCATTAAATGCATAGCTATTGTGTACAGCACTTTGGCTGAACTGTAAAGTTTTTTAAAAGTGCTTTATAAATAAAGCGGGTATGGTATGGTGGTATTGGGTTTTTCTCTATAATAATAGAGCAAAACCCATCATTTATAGGGGGAAAGTTCAAATCTGGAATTGGTTCCAAAATATCCAAATCGGGTGGAATTTAAATTAAGTTTGTCTGGGCATCATGTTTTTGTTGTGTGAAATCAGTATTGGGTGTGTGTGAATAACTATTGATTATTTAGGTTGCTGGTGGATACAGTGGTTCACTTTCCTCCGTCTCTTGAAGAAGTGACTCTGACAGTGAGTGAAGACCGAATGTGGTTCAAGAATCACGTGGAGGAAGACGCAGGTTTAGTTTGTCTTTAGTCTTCTATCATAAAACACAGATTCTGGCTCAAGCAGAGTTTACTTGTCTGTCTCCTCAGAGCCTTCGAAGTCCATGCTTACAGAGCTGTGTCTGTCATCTGATGAATTTGACCATTTTTCTGTACAATCTAAAAACAGCATCACGTTCTGCCTAAAGGAGCTTCGAGTAAGACCATGAAAAAATTTCTCTTTGTCTTGTAAATACAAAGAGCCTGTTTCTCATTTGGGATTTGAATATCTGCAGGGTTTGTTATTATTTGCTGAATCCATTGGTCTGCCTATTTCCATACACTTCGATGAGCCAGGCTGGTGAGTCCTCTGCAACTGGTTGTGTTTTGTTTGAGGATACTTTCGATAACGCAAATCTGTTGTGTGTCAGTCCTGTTGTGCTTTCAGTGACCGATACTGTTCTGGAAGGAAACTTTGTGTTGGCCACTCTTTCAGATGATAATAATCTTCACAAAAACAACTCAAGGTACAGTGTAAAAAACAAGTGTAAAACAATCTGAATGGAGTTCAAAGTTGTTTTTAGAATGATTTGTGCACGCTAAAGCAATATTCATACTCATTCATTCAAATCCACACTGACATTCCCAAAAGAGGCTGGCGTAGATCAATATCGAAACTCTCTGCCATTTTTTGTTGCTGTGGGATTAATGGGCCTCATTCACGAACGGTTCTTAGGAACAGATTTGTACGTAAATCCTACTTACGCGGTTTTTACGAAGAAAGTGGCATTCACGAATATTTCTCGTAACCAGAATTTCACTTGGGCAAGTACAAATCCTACGAGTCCTCAGGAGCACTCGTACGCATTCAGTGCCGACATGTTCACAGCCGGGGTTGTCCTCTTTGGTGAAGTTGAATAAAAATACAACATTCCAGTGATATGTCCGTCATATCGATGTATGTATTTATTTATTTGTAGTAATCTTTATTAGTAATCTTTATTTATATACCGCCTTTTTCACTGCAGATCTGGCCTACTTTTTAATTCATTTTGAAATGAAATGTGCCAACGCTTTATCAAATACATTGGAAATCTTGCCGTGTATTAGTGACCCCTTCCTATTTATAGGGGGCATTTCTTTATCCACGGGCCACAGAACAACGGCATATATACTGCTGCTGCAGGAGGTTACTGGGTCCGCGCTGAGTCTCTGCGCTGGTCTCTCCTATGGATCTATACGGGTCTGCGCTGGTGTCTCCCATGGATCTATACGGGTCCGCGCTGGTCTCTCCTATGGATCTATACGGGTCTGCGCTGGTCTCTCCCATGGATCCATACGGGTCCGCGCTGGTCTCTCAAGTCTGGTCTATGCGGTCTCTCTTCGGTCCGCGCTGGTCTCTGCGCACCGGTCTCTCCAGTCAGGTGTCTCCAGTCTATGCGTCTCTCCTGTCCGCGCTGGTTTCTGTGTGCTGGTCACTCCAGTCTCTCCTCGGGTCTGCATTGGTCTCAGCGCTGGTCCGCGCTGGATCTCCTCCCAGGGTCCAAAATATTTTGAGATTAATCTCAAAACATTTTGAGATTCATCTTTAAAATAATACATAATATATTTTTAAATTAAGCTCATAACATTTTGAGATTAATCTCATCATATTCTTAGATTAATCTCATAATTTTGCTAGTTCGACTTTATAATCATAATATTTCGACTTTTAAGTCAACATTTTATAACTTTATTCTCAGTCTGGCAAAAGCCTGCTTTAGGCCTGTTGCTGTTTCCTCTGGCGTCTGCACACGGCCCTGCAGTCCCTTATATGGGCATTAGTGGGCGGTTACTTATGCTAAGTACCTATGGTAATGAAGCACCGGGCACGCGCGCTCTACTTACGAGGAAATGGGATTCATCAATCTGAGAGAACAGCTGCGAACAATTCAGCGGCTTACGAGTGCGTTGATGAATCCCACGTGGGGACTTCTTAGAAATCTACTTAAGGACAACTTGAGAAGAAAGTTGAGTAGTTTCTTACGAAGTTATTCGTGAATGAGGCCCATTGTTCTTTGGTTTTATCAATACTAAGTTTAAATAAAACAAAATTACATAATAATAATATTTTGGTTTAAGATTGTCAAAAGTAGTACTTGTCAACCAGAGAAAGCACAATTTATCCTCTAAAGATAAGGAAATACAACGGCTTATTTTTGATGATTTTGCACTAAATCCTAAAGGGTCTATAAGTAGATCTTTTTTTTCCCCAAGTGCCTGAAATTGTCAGAGTTGTTGACATTTGAAATAAACTGAACGGAAAACTGAATTACTCTAATTTATTGTGCAGTCAACCTCCTCCACCTCCACCCGATGACTTTATGAACGATGACATGGACTCTTACCTCATCGCCATGGACACCAGTGTTGTACCAGGTCCGTCATCCAGACCTGAACCTTCACGACTCGCTGCAGAGAATCACAGGACGCATGACAGTGATGAGGAAGATGGAAGCGAGCACATGGACGGGCCACCCAATAAGAAGGTATCCCTGATAGTGTAAACTGTTGATGATGATAATTGATATTGACCAATGTGAATATATACAAATACTCTTCATAACAATATTCAGACAGTGGCTTGTCTTCTATTGTTGTGCTAAAACATACAGTACTTCAAAATAGGGCAGAAATCTTATCTTGTTGCACAAACACAGAAGTGGAGAAAAATTACATGTGTTTGAAATATTATGAACCAGCATGAATTACTTTTAATAGGATCTTTTGCCATCCTTGTATAATAATCATTCTGTAAACCTGGACTAAAAAGGGGATTTTTAGAAGTAAAAAGTAAGGACCGACCAATTTCTTAAATCATTGGATATTACATCCTCCAATCAGCCACCAACTATTATTGTCAAACTTATTGTCCAATATACACACCTTATTGCTCATTTTAAAACTCTGAATTTGCAGAATTCACTTTTTGTATTTAAATAATTCGGATTAATGTTTATAGTCTATGATTACGATCCAGGCATCTGTTATTGATAACTGTAAATTGTCTGCCGCAGCCTTTGAGATCATGAACCCAAGCTCACAATGTAATTTATTTATTTAAATAGCTGTGTGGTAAAGGCGTTTTTTGTGTGTGGCTGATTTTCTATAAAAGACATACATGATCATTTATGGGATATTTTGTTTTTAATTGGCCAGTAAGTCGGTAATTTAATCAGAATCCTTCAAAAGACTTTGTTTTCCCAATAGCAGTCACTAAGAAATCCGTCAATGTTTTTTATGTGAATCAATTTCATAATTTTCTTTTTGCAGTTTTGTTCTCTTTTCTTTGGATCGGTGCTTCCGCCGCCTTCTCAGATGTCCACTCAGCCAATCACGACTCAGGAGGTTTTAGCCAGTGACAGCGAAGATGAAACTCAGCTGGAGTGACGTTTGACACTTTCTCTCTCCAAAGTTCACCAAAATACTTTCAGCTTTTATTTGGACAATAATGACAGTGTTAAAAATAGTTAAATTATGGATAGTGGTCCAGACTGTTTATGTTTATTGATATTTGGATTGTAAATTTAAAAAAAAATATTTACACATTTTGTGGTTTATTTATTTATTTACAATTGTAAAAAGTAACATTTTCAGATAAACTCAAAAGTACACATCAGCATATCGTGAAGCAGCATCCTCAAGTCGGAGCAGATCTTTCTCTTCACTTTGACCCTTCCTACTTCCCTCCATCATTTTTTCTTTCTTTTCTTCCTTTTCACGTTCTATCTCCTTTCTCCTTAGCTCCTTGCGCTGCCTCCTCCGTTCCCTGGACATCAGCTTACTTTCCGTTTCCATTCGTCCCATTTTTCTCACATCACTAAAGTCCTGTATCAGAATTTTCGGAACTTGTATTTTGGGTTTTGCCTGTTTTTCTTCCCTCAGTCTACGAAACAGACCGAAACGCTTGGACTGCTGTGCTTTGTGTGTCACTGCCTGTACCTCATCGGAGCTTGTCGTTTGAATGGTTTCACTGCTGTCCGTGTGATCCAAATATGTTTGCATCTTCTGCTCTGCTGATTGGGGAGTGGTGAACAGATCTTCGGAAAGCCTACGCGCACTCCGAGACCCAAGTGAACTGGACGATCTTCTGACCCAGACGTCCCCAGATGACATGAAGCCATACAGTTGGTTGGTGTTTGTCGAGTCGTCATCTAAATGTTGAAGATCACTGCATTTCTTTCTCGCTATACATTTGTTTTGATCCGATTTGTCAACATTACACTCTGTCTCCCTTTCATAGATGCACTGTTTTATATTCTGTATGGAAGTATCTGCCTCTGTGCTGAGACACACACCTGATTCCTCTGCTGACTGCTGCATTTGGGGAGGTGAAATTACGTTAGAAGTCTTAATATGACCTTCTTCATGTTGTGCACTCTGCGAGCAATCAATTGTTTGCTTTTCCGTTTTGTCTAAAATCACTAATTTCTCAGTAATGTCTTTCCTTCTGACTATTACGTCCTCGCTTTTTGTCTCTGGAATGTGTTCTTGTGCTGCCAATCTGTATTTCTCTCCTCCCTGGGCGTGTGACTGGTTGATTTCTGTTTCTGTTAATGACTCATTTAACTGGAATTTTCCTGCTGGCGAAAGTTTATTCAGGTGACCGACTGCCTCTTTGTTTGGGTGGTGTTCTTCTTTGATACTATTTTCATCATCTTGGCTTTTACAAACAGTGTTAGCAGAGTCCGCAGCCATCTGTTGGAGCGACTTTACCTGGTAGACACTCATTTTCTCTTGTCCGTCTGTCTGCACACAAGGATGATGTTTGGTATTTTTTTCATCAAATTTTTGACTAGACTTCTTGCCCACAACTGAGTGTGTCTCATGTTGCTCATTTGTAAGATCATCCACTTCAATTTGCAAATCCAGCTGGCTTAGAAATGCTGTAGATTTGCTTATTTCTTTTGGGCTTTCTTTAATGGTTTTTGGTGAGACCATGGGTGCTGGTTCATTTTCGAATTCTTCCAATAATTCACTTTGTTGGATGCGTTCTTCCCTCGTGTCGCTCTGCTTTTTCTTTTCCAATAAAGCAAACCCGTCATCTTTTTGACCATTTTTAGCTCTCACAATAGCCAAACTTGGGCAGTCCGCTGTTGCTCCCATGGAAAGATGTCTCATGACCTTGCTAGGACCTCTTGATTCTCTTCCGTTGACCCCCTTTTGCCACTTTGACAAAGAGAGGGTGGAGGCCGAGCGAAACAGAGGCGCAGACAGGTTGCTCTTTTCTCTTTCTCGCTTATCACATTCTTCCATTCTTTGTCGAGAACTCCACCAAGCCATGTGGTAACCAAGACAACGGGCTCTGGGGTCAAAGGTGGAGGAAGGTCGTTCTTTTTGCCATATTTGTAGTTCTTTTTCCATCCGTCTTTGCAGATCTTTGGCTGAGAGTGACACTGACAATACCTACAAGTGAAATCGAGAGGACATACTGTATCAAACCATAGTAAATTTGTGCTTAGATCATAGCCCAAAAAACGAAATGAAAGAAAACACAGGGATGCTCAATTATGGCAAACAATTATAATCCTGATTCCCTTCAAACTGTAACTTCTCTGTGCAACATTGTCCTGGAATCTTGCAATAGTAAGATTATGTACAGCAATCATCGAAATCACAAATTATATTAAACATGGTGTACCAAACTTTCAACCTACAAAAATGTAACAACTTTACCTTTTAACTATTTCTTCGCTTTCTAAACACGTTGGTTCTCTCTAGTTCTTACAGCAATGTATTATTTGGCCTCCGTCACATCATTAGATCTTATTTTTCAGAGAGAAAGGTTAAGACTCTTTCTGTTCAAACAAACATAATGTACAATTGTATTTATAGAAGGGGCAAAACCATGGGAATTGCACATTATTGGTCTGATTTTTATGAATTAGATTTCAATCCGACCAGTTGTGTGTTTTACAAATGGATCAATATTTGGACTACTACTATGTGTCACATTGTAGTTTTCAGAAGCATATTCGTCCCTGACAAATAATTTTGGGGGGCTCAACCAGAAAAAGCACATGCCAAAATTTTTTATAGGGCATTTAACGTCAAAAACATATTTTTTGGGGGTAGAGTGGAAATTGTTATAAAAATAATTCATTTTATTTGTAATGCACTTTTATTTGACACCAAATTCCAAAATGATATAAATTAAAAAGGACAAACATTGTAAATAACTAAATAAACTCTTAATTCTCTTATTTTCAGTTGATTGATTCTCATTCACTGTTCTTTGAATCAAAAGAACCTAAAGTTCAGAGAGAGAAAGAGCAAGACATATGAAATGAACCAATGAGTCTAATAAATATAAACTTGCCTCAACGATGAAGTGGTCTTCGTCTTCTGTGATGTACTCCCGGACTCCTCTGAGCCTCTGTAGTGTCTCCATCTGATCGCAGCACTGTCTCCTCTGCGCCTCGTCTCCCAGAACCCTCTGCACCAGCACCACAGCCACCTGCAGCAGCACACGCACACCTACAGACCGGACCGGGGGATATCACAATTTCGTTATTTTAAAACCCTTCCCAATGGTTGTGAATAATGTAAATAAAGACTTTAATATTGAATGTGTTCCATTGAGAATCACATGGTCCCTCAAGATACAATACTCGTCGTTACATGGCTCACTATCCCATAATATCACAATTTTAAAAATCATTATTCTAATAGCACCACATTGCACACATTTCATAGTAAACACACATTTTAATGACCAAAACAATGAAAACATCAAATATGATTATTATATCATGTCGAGAGATTATGATGAAATTATGCCCAAAAATGTCAGACTTTTAGTGATGAAGAACTATTAAGATATCTGTAGTGGGTTGCATGTGCAGTACTAGTACTGTTTCAGACTATGGATTATAGATTATGAATGTATGAAGGATTTGGGATTATGTAGGAATGTAGACTTGTATAGTTTTAATTCATTTTTATTTTTCATTTTTATTCATTGCAGTTGTATGTAGCCATTGTGAATCGAATGGAAATGATCCTTTGGCTACTTTCATGTTTCATCATGTCTGTTCATAGCACTGTCCCAATCAGATAAATAATGGCGCCACCTGCTGGTGTAAATCTGATCTCAGACCTCTGAATCTGAGCAGGGCAGATCCTGGTTAGTAATGGGATGGGAGACCTCTGGAAACATCAGGTGCCACAGGGGAGCACCTGCTGAATGGCAGACTGTCAATGTGTTCTTCGGCAAGACACGTCACCCACATTGCATAGTATGAGTCTGGTGTGTCTCATGGCACATACTGGGGGCCTTGCTTGCGTCAGTCTGCCCCAGGACAGCTGTGGCTACAGTAGTTGTTTAGGAAAGTGACTTAATGCTGCCATGTGAAGCATTAGTGAGTGTCCAAAAAGCACTATATAAAACTAATATATTATAAAAATTAAACGATTGGAGCAGAGTATACATTATGATTTATTTATTATTGTTATTATTCATAATAATTATCATAATATTTATCATAATAATAATTATAATAATTATATATTATAATGTATAATAATGTTCACACTATGTTTTTACAACCTAGAACAGGTACTTATCCCCTTATTATTGAGCAATTTCTGTAACTCACACTCCTATACCATTACCATAACAGAAGAACAGGTCCCAGACTCTGAGCAGTGTGTTGAAGGGCAAGTGGCGTGTGAACAAACACATGAGCCAGTCTGTAGCGAACATAAGCGGCTCTACGCCGTGATGTTGCAGATGTCTGTGTGCAGCGGGACAAGACCTTTTCAAGACCCACATCAAAATGGGTGCATCAAAAAGCACCCCTTCCTGGAAGAAATTTGAAATTTAGTAGTTTATCTAATGTCAGAAATACTACCAATGCTATTTTACTTACAAGTAGGGGACTGTAGTATCCAGGCAGGTATTGTTCACAGATCTGAACCAAACACCAAAAAGCTTCCTGGAAAAATGTGGGATAAAGGTAAAATAAAGAAAATGTTTTTCTCGCATTGATTCATTTTCAATTTTCATTTTATTTTTACTTTTCAGAAATAACATGAAAATAGTGTTGTTTATTGATTTCTGAACAAATATTAGTCTCTTGACGTGTGGCAAAGTCTAAACCACTTGCTTTTACTGTCAACTGAAACAACAAGTTTTGACTGGATTCTAGTTCTGAACTTTACAACATGCCTGTATTGACAGAGCTGAAGTTGGCTGGATAACACAGTGGACTTGTGTTTATGAACTCAAAAACTACTAAGTCACCATGCAAGGCCTGAGTTTCAGACTTTTCAACTTGTGTATCTTGTTCATTGGAGATTGGCTTTGTCAGTTTCTCAAATTAGCAATTTACCACCTTGCTCTTGAACACCTCGTACTTTTGGACATTTTAGGAAGGCCCCAGAGCCAACATTAACAGCACTGGCAGTGGAGTGCTTCTTAGTGGCTTCATGTTTGATTTCCTAATGCTCTAGATGTTAAATGGCATATTATTCTGTTCATACCTTTAATATCTTTAAAAATCTGCAAGCAAGTCTGTAGCTTCTTACTTTTCTAGTGAATTGTTGAGAATTAATTGTTAACTAATCAAAAATAGTTGTTCCTGGTTTTTGCATGGATTTCAAATTATGATGTCCAATGAAACTAAGTTATGGTGTTGTGAGTGAGATTTAAAATACCACAGAAAACAAATCAATTGCCTTTCCCTATCAAAAGACATGTCTTTTTTCTTTTACACAATATATTCATTTTTTACACTTCCTGTACTGTATCTGTCTCAAAACCACTTACAAACATCCATATGTGGAGGCCTATCATAAAATACTGCATTTAGGTAAAATGTACCTCAGCAGGCATGTTCATGAGCAGCACTGCAGCGACTGGACCCTGGGCCTGGCAGTAACCGTCCTCATGCTTAAACTGCGTGTAGGCTTTCAAGACTTTAAACAGGCTCCGCTGCCTGTGTAGAATAAAAGTCAATTGATCCTGAATCCTTTTGTTTTCTCAAATCAAAAACATACAGACCCATGTCCATCTTTGGCAACAAACATCTCATGGAAAGGGAATTGACGGTCCAAGTCTCTCTCAATCACATTTTCCCAGTGTTTCAGAGCAGGCTGTGTGTCCAGCAACTGTCACAAAAATATCAGCATCAACTTAGCATACTATTTTAAATATAAAAAAATCAATGAAAATGATAGAACCTTGTATAGGTCTTTTTGTTGATTAAATCGTTCAGTGGCTCCGCTCAGTAGTGACCAGCACCGTGCCCGGAGTGAAGCTGGGATTCCCTTATGGCATTGCACTTTGATCTAATTACAATATTTCTTATGTTATATTTGTACCTCACACTGGTTACACTGGACAAATTTGTTAGGGAACATACCTTACTCGTTTTCTTGAATAAAAGCTTATCCCACTGATCAATGATGTTTATCCACTTGGCCTCTCTTTGTCTCACTTGAGCAGGAGATGGGCCTGCAGTCCTAGTACTTGAACATGTTAAACATTTAATACATTACACCATTAGCCTTTGTGTGTCTGAGAATTAAAAGGATACTGAGAAAGGAGAATAATGCAGTTTGCACTGTTGATCAAAAACAGGAAAACCACACGGCAAAGCCTGCCCTGACAACCAGGGTAATCAATGTGGGGAACTGTCACATTGGCCTAATAGGTTGTTACTTACAATCTTACTCTCTTTCTCAAGAGCATAGTACAAACACAATATGTTGCAAGTTTCATACTTCCATAAAAAAGGTCCCAAAGTTATCATTATATTATTATTGTACTTTATTACTACTATGTTCAAGTTAGAGATTTTATGCTTGTTCTTTGATGCTACAGTTAGAGATTTAGAGATTTTGTTTTATTTTAATTAGTATAGCTATCGTTCATTTATCTTGTGCTGTGTGCTCCTCATTCCTACTGTTCTATAACTCGTGATGCAACACTGAAATTTCCCCACTGTGGGACAAATAAAGGATTTCTTCATCTTAAATTACAGCATTCAACAAGATCAGCTTCTTACCCTTCAGTAGACCCATCAGGAAGAAGAAAACCAAAGCGATCTGTCTCCTGCTCAAGTCCAAACTCTGACTCAGAATCAGAGCTTTCCACTTCACTGAGGTTTTTCAGTTCAAGTCTGGATGCATTTAACATCTTATTCCTAAATTTGAACAATTGTAAACTACACAAGTGAGTCCATATTTAGCCAGTTTTAGGCATACTCGCTCTGCAAATGTGAATGAGCAGCATTACCTTTACGTCTCCTCTTGTGACGCCCTTTCAATACCACAAACTTCCTCTTTCTCGGCAGCAGCATGACGACAACATATCATCTAACTTTGACTTACTTACTTATTTACATACTTACTTTTTTCACTTCTTATCCAACTATCAAAACTGTTCTGTAGAATTTCATGAAAATAACATATGTCCAACCTAAAGTGACTATGTCAAGCAAGATTATACTTTTCATATAAAACCTGATTGCTTCATAAGAGCAGCTCAAAAAGCATACTGGAAATTACTAAAACTGCTGCCTTGAAAGTCTTTAAAATAACAATTTTGGACTCTAAAAGTTGTGTATGGATTCTCAAAGTTTTCTCAAAGGACAACATTGATGATGTAGAAACAGCAAATTAGAAAATAAAACATGACTTGATCAAAAAAGACCACTCAGTAGATCAATATTCATTATGACCTGTAATTTCTCATCAGTCTACCTCACAAAATATGGTGTCATCATCATTAAACCAACAAAAACATCGCTCAGATAACCAGTGTTTGGATGTGTTTCTCTGAAATTGAACTAGGCCCATTATGTCAGACCTCTGGAGTTAAACAGGATGTGGTCTGGTTAGTACGGTGATGGGAGACCTCTTGGAACACCAGGTGCCACAGTGGGGCAGTCAAATTGCACCCACATTGCATAGTATGAGTGTTGTATGTACAGATGGTGGTGCTCGGAAAGGCTGATGGCATGTACTGGTTGCCTAATTTCTGTTAGTGTGGCCATTGCAGCTGTGGCTACAGTAAAAGTGTATCACCACTGTGTATGGAGTGAATTCATATTGAAATGTAATGTCTTTGAGTGTCCTAAAAAGTGCTATATAAAACTGATGCATAATTATTTAAATGTTTGCATTCCTATATTGCTGTTTTTAAAATGTAACTCTCTGTTTCTTTCTATTTTTAACACAAATTCTACTACACAGAAAGCTTTATGTGTAGCTTTATATCTTTATATTCCAAACAGTTGTATCTGAGGGTAGTGTTTTTCTCTAATTATTTGTTAACAGAGATATATAATATGAAGAAATGATACAATTGGAATGATAGGCCAATGAATTATTATAGTATATTTTAAATATTTAAGTATGGTTTTTAAAAAAAGACTGTTTTCTTGAGATAGAATGAGATAGATGAAGATAGAATCACACATCTCACACAGAGGAAATTTACAGCCCATTACCATCAATGCTACAAGTTATTATAAATAGAAAATAATTTCAGGGGGCATGTCAGGGCGAGTGGCATCAAAGGACGGGTAAATGTTCCATACCGTACCTCATCCATACTATTAATGTGCAGTGTTGAAAAACAAAACATCAAAGCTCATTGTACAACCACAAGATGGCCACCACGACATGGTAGCTCTATTGTTTATACCTCCCTGCGAAGAGAGAGTCACGTGACACGGGCGGAAACTGTCTCTGCTAAATCTCCCGCGAACGCAACCTCTTTCCTTTCCTCGGAGCTTCCACGGTGAGTGCGGTCTCACGTTTATGTTTAACGCTACTGAACATCACGCAATCTACCAAGTTGGTTAGAGCCCGATGATTACATGTAAAGACTATCATTATTTTGGTCTCAACGCATTTCTTTATAGGACTGTTGATTAGCAAGACCACTGAAACACGGCGCGCGACCTGGACTTTTTGTGCTAACAGTTGGCTAACTTGGCTGATCGCATGTGGTGGCTTGTCCTATTTGCCTACAGCAGTTGTTTTCCCGCTTATATCTAAATTGATTTGTGTTTTATCAACTTACATCGTATATAAAAGTAAATTGAGTAGAAAATATGATACATGTTTTAGTTTGACCAGGAGCCAGTCATTTCCATTGTGTCGTCACAGATTTCAGTTAGCGTAATGTTGTACAATGGCGGGTTTTTTTTTTCGCTCTTAATTTGGCCTTTAATCCAACAGACAAGCGTGATATTAGTAACCCTGGACTTCGTTGCGTGTCCAGTACTCGTATATGTTGAAATATTTGTAATGTATATGGTTAAGCTAACGTAAGCGACGTTTGCCGTCTGTCTCCGTAGTTTGCTAATTCTGCAACGGTGTAACTAAACCGGAACCGATGGCAGAGCAAATCGTGGAGTTTAAGGTAATTCTTTACTTGATGATTTGAGTTTATTCTTGAATTACGAATAATCATTATGCTAAACTCTGAACCAGTATCAACCAGTCTAAGCTATGCTCCTATTTGTCCTGTAGTTGGTGTTGGTCGGAGATGGAGGCACTGGAAAAACTACCTTTGTGAAAAGACATTTGACGGGAGAATTTGAAAAGAAGTATGTTGGTAAGTAAAACTGAAGATAAAACTATGGGAAAATGTATATTTGAAGATTCTCTGTAGTTTAAGACTCATCAACGTATTTACTTTGAAGCTACACTGGGAGTAGAGGTGCACCCTCTGTTGTTCCACACAAGTAGAGGCCCCATTAGGTATAACGTGTGGGACACAGCTGGCCAGGAGAAGTTTGGAGGTTTGAGAGATGGCTACTATATTCAAGGTAAGGCAAAAACATGTTACAATGAGACCACATTTGTCATTATTTTCTCTAAACCTGAAATCCCTTCACAGCTCAGTGTGCCATCATTATGTTTGATGTAACTTCTCGTGTCACCTACAAGAATGTGCCCAACTGGCACCGTGACTTGGTTCGTGTCTGTGAAAACATTCCCATTGTCCTTTGTGGGAACAAAGTGGATATTAAAGACAGAAAAGTTAAAGCCAAGAGCATTGTGTTTCACCGTAAGAAGAATTTGCAGGTATACCTTTTTTTGTTTTTCTTCTTCCATGAAACCTTTTTGTTTTCACGCTGTATGTTTGCTGATGACTTGTTTTTCTTCTAGTACTATGATATCTCTGCCAAGAGTAATTACAACTTTGAGAAGCCATTCCTTTGGCTTGCAAGAAAACTGACTGGAGATCCGAACCTTGAATTTGTTGCAATGCCAGCCCTCGCACCACCTGAGATCCATATGGACCCAGCTATGGCTGCCAAATATGAAGATGAACTTAAAGTAGGTTTAAAAAAAAAAATGGTGGTTCTCTGGACTATCTTCCTGACCAGTTTGTCCTTTGTCTAGGTTGCATCAGAAACGGCACTCCCAGATGAAGATGACGACCTCTAACATGTTTGTCCTTTTTGTCTACCTCCTATAGTGGATAGCAGATTGGACTTTTCCCTGTTTACTCTTAAATCCCCATCCAGATGTTTTTATTTTTGGATTCCTTTGTCAATCTGTAAACTGTCATTTTTTTTTTTTTTTGCGCTGCGTATAAATGGGATGAACAGAAAGTGAAACTGGCCCTCAAGTTATCTTTAATTGTTTCTAATTTGTTGCCCTGGAGTCGCAGTGAAATTAGTCTGATTCTGTGTTTTTCATGATCTTGATAAACTTGACTCGGAACACCGTAAACTGCTTTTGTCCTTCAGAAAATGTATTCATTTGTGGTATTGGACTGGATTGTTTTATTCTTCAATACCAGAGATGTTTCTTGCCTGTTCAAATACTGGTTTGTTATTGACACGAGTAAACTACAGATTTGATTCATCTCAAATCTCTACCCAGAATGGTACCATTTCTATTGGTTTGTGTCCCTTTGTATCCAATTTATCAGTCTTTATTTTCATAATAAATAACTTTTGGAAACTTAGCGGCAGTTGTAAATTACATTGTAATGTGGATGCACCATTTCCACTTTCATGTCATCAAAATCTATTCTGATGTAAAGGGTGTTATCTTCCTAATGGTTTATATTTTTATCACTCAACTGAACGGTAAATGGCATGTTGAACATGTGCGTTCTATCAATTAGTGGTGGTTATGTTGACCAGACAAGATGAGACTTCTGTGATGCCTGTTCTGCTTAGTTTGGTTGTTTGGCTTGAACAAATCTAAAATGTTAACCTTAATGTAGCCATGTCATCAGTTTTTCTAATAAAGAATAAATCTGCATAACAGCTGGGCGTTTTTGAGCATGTTGGCCTCGTGTCAGGTGTTATATATGGACAGTTTATCAAAGGTTTATGGAGTCATTTGCAGTTAACAAATATTTGGTTGCATTTAACCCTTCTGTCCTCAGATTAAATGACCTGTCACCGTGATTAAAAGAAAAATACCTTGAATTAAGGCTTAAATGACCCAAGATTGGTCAAGTTAGGAAAAATCCAAATTTAGCGTCATGTAGTCTAGTCATCTATGTGGTATTTGTCCTCCTTTCTCACCAAAGGAGCTGCAGTACCTGTATGTGCCAGAGAAGGCGCTGTGGAGGAGCCCGCCTGTGCTTCAACGGTTGAGTGCGCGTGTTGCTGTCTCACGTTTTAGGAAAACCTTTAGATAAAAGTAAGTACGAACAAGCCAAATGATTCTATATAACATTAATCACTTGGGCGGTGACAAAATACTGCGGTTGAGTTTATGGTGATATGTCAAACGGGTAATCTCCATGTCCTATTCGTTAGCTATGTACAGCTAGCTGTGTTAAAAGAGCACCTCGCATGCGGCTGCTCAGTTAGCATCTTGGCACTTAAATGTGGTAAAATTTATCTTTTAAGATAACTATTGTGAAACTTATGGCTTAATGATGTAGAAGTCTTTATTCCATTGGGTAAATCATTTCAATAACAATTATTTTCTGTCCATGGTGTATAGACTAGGAACTTATAATGTGATTCGATGTTTCACGCGAACAAAAATGCGGTCGTACCAACCATCCAACCAGGGTTTAGTGTGTTGTATTATTATAAATCCATGGTTGTATTCTATAATATTTCCATGGTTTTATTTAAAATCAAATCCTTGTGCAATGTTTAAACCACCTTGCTGTGCATTTACATAGGCCTAGTTTATGTATACAGCTTACACTAATAGTTGGTTGGTGGCTAATCAATGACCCATTTATGGAATAAAAATATTGAATAATTTGAACGTGAATGTCTATTTGAAATTTGAATCACATTGAAATTTGTAAACTGAATTTTTTAGTGACTGAAATGCAAAGACAAAAATATTCAAACATTTTTTAGGGTTAACAATTTCAAATGGATAAATTCAAGCTCATTTAAAATTCAGAATCTGATTACACAAAAAATCTTCCATACCCATTGTTGTTCTGCATCATGTGCTGTTTTGTTTTCATTCAATACTTTTTATTTTCCTCCAGGTAGTTGGCGTAATTCTGCAGTGGTATATCGTAAGAAATGGCACAACAACAACCTGTTGAATTTAAGGCGAGTGTCCTGCACGACATTTTTTGTAAACTACCTCAGTTAAATACTCACTATTATTATATGACTTGGACCGTACGCGCGCTCTTATTGGCTTATTACCGGTCTGATATTTTCCCATCTCGGACCGTTACCATGACAATTGGTCCGAACAGCGCGTATCACATTTGATATCTTTCCTTGGACCGTTACCATGACAATCTGTCCACAGCGCATATCACACCAAAACCAAGTCGGACATGAACATATTTCACAAATATCTCAAAAGCATTGGTAAAGACACAGACGAGAGTCATATAATAAAACATTTATCAACCTTGCTTGCTCGATCTGTACAGAGAAATATCAGACCTGGGCCTTTTTGCACAGACCTCGCCACGGCTCGGTCTGTACATTAAGGCAGCGGTCTGATATTTCTCCATACAGACCTCGCGCTCGGTTGATAAGCCGTTAATATTACTTATTTGTCCTGTAGTTGGTGTTGGTCGGAGATGGGGGCACTGGAAAAACTACTTTTGTGAAAAGACATTTAACAGGAGAATTTGAAAAGAAATATGTAGGTAAGTGTAGATCTTTCATATCTGGTTATACTGATGCAATATCATATTCTGTTGTTAAATCCTCTATATAGAATTCATATACAAAACATATTTTTATTTTTTAAACACCAAAATAAGTCATTACAATGAAGCTCCCCAGCTGCAGGCTGCTTACCCCAGGTGATGGTCTTTTAGCATTGTGTTTTCTTTACTTTGAAGCTACACTGGGAGTAGAGGTGCACCCTCTGTTGTTCCACACAAGTAGAGGCCCCATTAGGTATAACGTGTGGGACACAGCTGGCCAGGAGAAGTTTGGAGGTTTGAGAGATGGCTACTATATTCAAGGTAAGGCAAAAACATGTTACAATGAGACCACATTTGTCATTATTTTCTCTAAACCTGAAATCCCTTCACAGCTCAGTGTGCCATCATTATGTTTGATGTAACTTCTCGTGTCACCTACAAGAATGTGCCCAACTGGCACCGTGACTTGGTTCGTGTCTGTGAAAACATTCCCATTGTCCTTTGTGGGAACAAAGTGGATATTAAAGACAGAAAAGTTAAAGCCAAGAGCATTGTGTTTCACCGTAAGAAGAATTTGCAGGTAGATACCTTTTTTGTTTTTCTTCTTCCATGAAACCTTTAGTTTGTTTTCACGCTGTATGTTTGCTGATGACTTGTTTTTCTTCTAGTACTATGATATCTCTGCCAAGAGTAATTACAACTTTGAGAAGCCATTCCTTTGGCTTGCAAGAAAACTGACTGGAGATCCGAACCTTGAATTTGTTGCAATGCCAGCCCTCGCACCACCTGAGATCCATATGGACCCAGCTATGGCTGCCAAATATGAAGAAGAACTTAAAGTAGGTTTCATATTTTTCTAATTGTTGCTTCTCCTATTTTTTACTCTTTTCTTGACCTGTTTGTTCTATTGCAGGTTGCATCAGAAACTGCACTCCCAGATGAAGACGATGACCTTTAACACGTTTCTCCTTTTGTCTTTCTCAATCTCCCTTAATGTAACATCCCCTCATTTTGTATTTGGATTTTTTTTTTTTCTGTAAATTCCAATAAAAATGTGACTTAAAAATATATATATATTTATTTTATTTCACTGTATGGCACCCCTTTCTTGGACAAAAAATCTGTTGCTTGTCATATAAGCCTCCTCTGCTGCACTTATCCAGCTCACATAATGTTGTATGGAGTGGTATTGCGAGAGTGAACTTTAAATAAAGGCTGTTTCTCTGAATTTCATGCCAGTCCCTCTTTGTTTCAGTGAACTTTCTTTTCTCATCTGCAAAGGTTTATTACCATAGATCTTAATTTGAATACACAAAACTGGACAAACTAAAAAATATTGATTTTATATGATACTGATTTTTATATGAGATATCAATGTTGAACATGAACATGTTACGTCTGACGTCTATGACATTTAATAAAATTATGCAAATAAACTTCGTTCTGACAGTAATTTTACATTTGCCCAAAACAAGTCAACATTGAATGATAATTGGTTATGAGTCAGTGGCTTTCGAATTTCGATAAATGCAGCCTATTGACCACGAGATTACCTTCAATTGCACATTTATGGAGACGCATTCAACATGTACAACCTCCAAGTAGTTGTATTACTCGACTCTCTTGTTGCTTATGTTTTCAACACTAATCGGGGAGATGCATGGACAATTGCTTTATGGGTCAAACTTGTCACTGATCTTGTAAGAGTGGGGGTAGATCGATCTTGTGCTTGGAGCAGAGCAGAAGAGGTGCAGTTACCAGTACATCCAGAGGCGTGGCCACATCCAGCACAGCCCAAAGGACACACGCAGGACGGGGAAGCACCAAAGCGCATGCGCGGATCTGAAAAGTGCGTTTTACAATGATTATGGCCAGAGGAGAGGCAGATTATAGTGCTCTACACAACTGTTGTTTTAATCCTCCGGGCGGAGAGATTTAGAAAAGAAAAACACTGGCGTAATATCTAGCAGCCATATTGAATGGAAAAACGACGGAAAAGCTCTTCTGCCAGTCGCTTTATCAAGTCGTTCTCTGTCAAAACTTGAAGTTTATCTCCCAGTTGCTGACGCTGGACTTGTGTAGGCAGCTGGCTGTGTGATCTGGACGTTTCAGAGTTTTGGGTTGATCTTTTGCCACAGAAGGACCCACATCGTCTGAAAGATGAAGGATCGATTGGAGCAACTCAAAGCGGTAAGAAAAGTCCAGGAAATTGTGAACTGTAACCTGTGCCACGTTAAGTCAACGTTACACAGTAAAACTCGTTATAATGAATAAACCGTATAGTGAACCAATTATTTAACGAGGAATAACGTCACTAATTCGCCTTGGTAAACTTTATTTACGAAAATAACGACATTTCAAACATCTGTGTTATCTCCAATTTATTTAGGGCTGAGAACCACTGCTCCAGGTTAAATATAACGTTTTTGGTTGCTTTTTTCTATCAGATCTGAAGTTTTATTGTGGTGTCAGGTGCCTATTTTACAACAGTGTAACCTGTAAAGTTAATGGTAAACTCGGATCGAGAAATAACTAGAAAATACGTAAAACACGCTCATTTAAATTATTAACCTATGTTCTACAGTGTGTGTAGCCTGGACCGCGGAACCTTTTTAGTTAGTTAGTGCATATAGTCTTTACTATTACCTCTACGTACTACATTCAACATAATAATAATAATAATAATAATAATAATCTCTATCATTGCAACAATGGCAAAGGTCCTTCCATGTCAAGATGCGATCCACAGACTCGTTCAGGGCGTGTTACAATAGTTACAATAAAGAACTTGACAAATATTTGCAGAGCTCTGGTGTTTAAAGTCAAGTAGGATGCCTTCCAGACTTATTTCTTGTACAGCTGTTTCCTTAGTCTGTAAACATCAAATATGGCCTTTCTGTGGTGGTCATCAGCCCTCACCCTGGTGTCACTGTAAACATGTCTCTTCTATTGTTCTATTTAATTATGTTTCTGACAGTGTCCTGGTGGACCATACTGTAACTCTGTGACAGCTGGCAGAAAGAAAGACCTATGTAATCTTTATTATGGCATAATTTTGATGATGTGTGGTATAATAAACTAAAAGTAAGTTTTTCTTTCCTTTTTTATTGACTGCAGGAGTTGTGTCAATTCTGATTGGATTAACCTTTTCTATTATTTTCACTAATCCTGGCTTTTCATGACAGATTGTCTCAAAGAAGCAAATCACGACAGTCTGTTTCAGTGTAACCGTCTGTCTAGTTTAGCCATTGCCCTGTTGCAGGGAATTATGCAGCATGACGGACAGTGTCTTTAGAGCAAATGCCTTTTTCTATTTGTTGCTTTTGTACAACCATTTTGTGAAGTCCTCTCTGTGAAGGAAAGTGTTTTGTTTTTGAATTATACATTGTACTTCTAAAAAATGTCCCTGGCCATAAACTATGGTGTTGTAGTTTGCTGTTTTAAGAATATGTCAAACAATACAACCTCTTTCCTTGTTTTTGCTGATTCAGACACGACTAAAGGAAATGAGTGAATACTCTTATCTTTATGCTGTGCGCGTGAGCATAATGTTTCACTGCTTCACTTGGACAGAGAGTTCAAAAGCACTTGTCTGAGACAGAGTTGTTGCTGGCAGCATTTGCAATTCAAATGTGGCCTGGAAAAAGGGTGAACTCACTTCTTCTATGACCTAGGATTATAACCTGGAAGAGGCCTGCTTTTACAGAATAACATTATACTTATCTATTTAATATATTCATCTTTTGTACTTTTTGTGTAAAGTGGTCAGAGTTAAATGTCAGATTGTGGAAAGTTTTTATTTTTATTTTTTTAAATAAATATGACCTCACTAGTATAGTTTTATGATATAAGGGGAGGTGTTCAGTTGACTCAAAGGTCATATGATAAATGGCCAGGGAAACTCGCAGCTGTTTGACTTCATCAACCCTGTGTATACAGAAAGTGTCACTTTATTCAGTTAGGTAAGTTTGTAAATACCTTGTGGATATTTAAGGAAGAGCCCAACCAGGGACTGTAACTGTGTTTACCTGCTCCATGGTGACCTATATTGCTTCTGTTTATTGTCTTCTGAAGTTGTGGTTTTCAGAAAGGCTTCACTTCCTGGAGCTAACGCTTGTCTCAGGTGAACCTCAGCCCACAGCCTTTTATTTGTTCTGTGTGTGTTCCTTGGATTATAGTTGTGACACTGATCCAGTATTCATGGGCCTGTCCTAATGACTGACACTAACAAAAAGGTTTTCCTAAAAAAACGTTGCTTTATTTGTTTATTACATAGACGTGTGATCAAGATGACGATGAGGTGGAGATTGCTATCGACAATGCAGCCTTTATGGATGAGTTTTTCTCACAGGTAATGTACATATACAATATGAAGTCTTACCTATTATTATATGGTTGAAGTTGGGATGTTGAACTATATAAAGTACATTTACAAATGTGTAAGTGTTTAAGTTCCTAGCTCCCAGGACAGTTCTTCTTTACTTCTACCACTAGTGCCTCACATTTTTAGATTTTTGATCCAGAGAGCTGTTTCATGTTTTAAAGGTTATTCCACAGACCCGACTCGGAGCTTACATTACTTAAACTGACAAATGGTAAATGGCCTTTGTCTTTGAGGTAAAATTGCTCAGACATTCTTGAAAATCACATACAGAGAGGCCTGTTATTATTTTTCAAACACTTGTATACTAAAAGACCAACATAATATTTACACCTGATTTAACAATATTGATGGATATATTTGACGTAAACTAGCTTTGTATTCCAGATTGAAGACATCAGAGGCAGTATTGACAAAATTGATGAGAATGTGGCTGAAGTTAAAAAACTTTACTCTGTCATTCTGTCTGCTCCCACATCGGATCAAAGTAACTAACACTGGCTTGTAACTTTTTTCTGAGAAATGGGCAAGAATAAAATCAACATTGTACATTTTTTATTTCCAGAAACTCAAGACGAACTTGAGGCAATCACTAACGACATTAAAAAGATGGCAAACAATGCAAGAAACAAACTCAAGAGTGAGTGGGATGTTTGCCGATGTCACTGCTCGTGTTTCTATCTTACTCTAATAATGTTTGATGTTTGATATCGTTGCAGCGATTGAGAGAAATCTGGAATCTGAAGAGCAGGAGAGGATCTCTGCTGACATGCGGATACGTAAATCACAAGTAAACCAGTGCAACAGAGTTATTGAGAAAGTCAGGCTTGTATTAAAGTATTTATTTCATTTTCAGCATGCAGTACTTTCTAGAAAATTTGTGGAGGTAATGACGAAGTACAATGAAGCGCAAGTAGATTTCAGAGAGAGGAGTAAAGGGAGAATTCAAAGACAGTTGGAGATCAGTGAGTAGTAGTCAGTTATACACACAGTATTTAACATGTTCTTGAGTTTAATAATCTTTTTGTTGTTTTTTTTAGCTGGAAAAGCAACTACCGATGATGAACTTGAAGAAATGTTAGAGAGCGGAAACTCTGCTGTCTTTACTGCAGGGGTGTGTGACTATGCATTTGTTTGTCCCATTTAATTTTGTAAAAAAGAAAAATAATAATCTGTTTGTTTGATTGCCATTCTTTTGTAATTTTAGATTGTAGACTCTGGGATTTCTAAACAAGCCCTTAGTGAAATAGAATCCAGACACAAAGACATTGTCCGGCTGGAAAGCAGCATCAAGGAGCTGCATGATATGTTTGTTGACATTGCCATGCTGGTGGAAAGCCAGGTATGCTTTGTTGGAAAATGTATTCAGTTACATTTGTCATTTCATATCATTTCCCATAGATGTCCTATTCTCCGACTAGACTAGAGGGTAGCACAGTGGCAGAGTTGTTAGCACTCTTGCATCTCAGCAGGGCCCTGGGTTTGAATCCACTCTCTGAGTGGAGTTTGCATGTTCTCCCTGTATGCGTATATTTCCTTTGGGTGCTACTGTGTTCCCCAACACTAAAAACACGAACAATGGGTAAAAAACCCCTGACCAAGTTGAGAATGAACATCTGGAGATGTTGGGCACTTTACAAGCCACCACTGATCCTGATAGTGAAAATTCGAGATCACCAAAAAAATTCTACCATTTGTTACTTTTCCCATTTCTATTTCCATTTATAAATAAATGCTTTATTTGACTGTTTCATGACATTTCCATTGCACATCATCCTCAGCTTTAATTCAACTGTTTGATATAATTCATTCATCTGCATTTACTATTGAACATGATACAAGTAGCTGCACTCTTAAACACATGTTTCTTAATTCTTACATTTTGCGTTCTGAGGAATTGCTTGCTTGAGGTAAGGGTGTTTCTTGTTTTTTGTTTAAGCTCTTTCAGAATATTATGTTCATGCAAAGTGTCCTGCTTTATTTGTTTGTTGGTTTTTTAAGTATCTATTTCACTTCTCTAATCTTAGGCCAGGCTATAACTTGTACAATTGACTTTGCTTATTTTGGTTGAATTTTCACATTATGCATACTACCACTTCCACTTTTGTGTATATCTGCATTACGTGTTGAATCAGTCTGCCTGAACTCAAGGTAATGAGACCAGGGATGAGACTGACTGATTGATGGGCCAATACAACATTTCAGCAATACAGTAATAATTCCATTGCTCATTTTCTAATTGTTTATTTGTTGTGTTTTCCAGGGTGATATTGTTGACAACATTGAGCAGAATGTATCAAAATCTGTAGACCACATTGTACAAGCGAAGGAGCAGACAAAAAAAGCAGTAAGGTACCAGACCAAAGCCCGCAAGGTATTGCCAACCTAACTGTTTTCTGTCTAATTTATCTGTTCTGCCACACCCGTTCTACCCATTTCAACACTGTTTGCATTTCTTTCATCTCGCAAGTGCATTGTCTGCCTCCTTATTTTTTAACTTGTTTCAATGGTTTTCTGTTGGTTCTCTTAATTTAAATGCATGCCACATGTTAGGGAGGGATGATTGAAAGAATTGAGAATAACATGGACCAATCTGTGGGCTTTGTGGAAAGCGCTGTAGCAGACACTAAAAAAGCAGCTAAATTTCAGCAAGAAGCTCGTCGCGTAAGTGACAAAAGTAAAGATATGATTAGCTACTTTCCCAAATGCTTAGTGGATCAGTATTTAAATTTTTTACATATCTGGCATGAAAAGAGTATTTAATCTTTTAATCTAAGTTGTTCTTACACTAATTAAATTCAATTCAAATGTATACAAATCTTTTAATGCATAAGCCATATTTTTGAATATAAATATAAATATAAATATTAATTTTCTTCCTCTTGACTTTAATAGGTCTAAATATGTGTCCTTTAGTTGTTTACTCCCTGAATTCACCAGTGCTTTTGGGACGGCAGCTCTTATCTTTTGTTTTGTGAAGACTGAGAAAAACCGATATGCCATAGTTTTCATCAGCCTTGGAGGTTGATTGGCCCTGGACTATTCTGGATTGTAAAAATAAATACAGGAAACATTTGCAATAAAGGTTTTATTTTATTTTATATATATATATATATATATATATATATGAAAAACCTGGAATTCTGTTCATGCGAGCTTGATGGATTTTTACCATACTGTACTCCATTTTTAAGAGAAATCAGACCCAAAAATATATCGGCCGTTCTCAACCCTGAAACTTGCCCTCTTCTTGATCCCTTTCTCCCTGTGACTTGTATTATATATTGTCGATACGCCTTTCCTTTCTACACACTGTTTTTTGTCCAGTTTTTCATTCACAGCTGTCTAAATGGAAAGGTCTAATCTGCACACTTGTTTTAAAAATGTTGTTCTCTATTCTTCTATAACTTAATTTCTATTAATTAAAATAAATGGTATGTTTTATATATAGCAATGATTGGGCATTGAGGAATTAACATCTTCGGTTCCAATGTGTTCCCCACAGAAAACTGTGATTCTAGTGGTGGTTGTGGTCCTCTTGCTAGCCTTACTAGCGCTCATAATTGGGTTATCTGTGGGATTGACATAAGTGTTTACTTTTTTCAAAGTTAACACTCAACAAAATGGTGAGTAATCATGACCCTAAAGTCTTAAATATGAGCGGTGTTGGTGGAGGCTCAGTGGTGTCGGCTGTGTGTGTGTGTGTGTGTGTCTGTGTGTGTCTGTGTGGTTTGACTTTCTATTGCTCACTAAAAGGCATGATTGTGTCCCCATCAATATTTGCTAATATTCACATTTGTTCTGTGTGTTTTTGTTTCCTTAGAACATCATTATTATCACCAAATAATTTTCCAATCCATGGATAGTCATAACTACCTCCTGATCACTCCCACCCTGTCATCAATTGTCATTTCACCGCTCTCCAAACATTTCAGCTGTTATCACTGTCATGCCTGAACCAATGCAAAGATGACACCACTGAGCACCTTATGGTGTGAGGATGAAAAGAGGAACTGTGACTGCACTGACTTTTACTGTACTTGTTATACATGAGGGGAAGAAATAAAAGACGAAGATTATATACATGTTGCTGAACACTGGTCTCAACAACATATTGTGCCAAAGAATCAATATATTAATTGATATATAAACACAAATATTAGGATGCAAACATCACCTAATAGTTCTTTTGAATGATTTCTAACACTCGCTGGTGTATGTCATATTTGTACTATGTACTAGTTCGACTTCAAGTCATAGCACTTTCCACATTTTCAATGTCTACCGAGTTTGTCTTAAATTAAGTTTATATTTTTATGTGATGAATTCTAAGTGTTTCGAAGAGGATTGGTCTGTACACCTATGATTCTTCTATTTCCTATTATGCTTGGACTAGAGAATATGAATGTTGAGTTAACCTACATACATATATCTTTATTTATTTTTATTGTGAGTATTGTATGTATTTTATTGATAACATCACAAATGTTCAACTTTGTACTTGTTTCATTAAAGATTCAAAAAATGATTTGTTCATACTCAGAAAAAAAAGAAAAAGTGATTGTTTTTTCATGAATAAATTTATTTTGTAATAAAAGGGTTTTAAACATGTTTTGGAGACTGAAGCATGTTGTGTTAAAAACATTTCTCCCCAGAGCTCGTACAAAAGGTACGTTTTTTTTCACATGCTTCCCCTTTGTATCCCATTTCCTCAATTTCTGTTGTGACCACATTAAGTGTATGTTTGTTTTGTATACAGGGAAGTATACTTTTTCCTCACAGTTTTCTCTCTTTACACTATAAATCTACAGAAAAAGATGATGATTACCTTATGCTGTGCCATCATCGGAATAGTCGGATTCTCCTATCTCTACAGCTTCTTTTCTTAAAAGGTAAGACAAAATATGAATGTATACATTTTAATTTAGGAATGTAATTGTTTTCTGACTTATTATAGGAAGAGTTGTTTTCAAGACTAAGAAATGGGACACATTTCCCTGGATCACGATAGAACAAGTAAAACTCCTGCCCCAATAATTTGTTTTCTTGTTCTCTGATGAAAAGTTGATTTTAAAAATCTGTCTGCTGTCCTGGCAGGTAAAAACTAAACCCATAGAAAAATGTCTGATTTTTTTCTAATTCGCTAACTAAACAAATATATTTTAAGTATTTTTTTTCTTTTGTGATTAGTCTATTTTGTGTGTGATTTCTCTGTATCTGTGTTGCTTAAATGCTTTGCTGTGATGTTTTTGTTGCCCTGAGTGAACCCTTGTAAAATGTGTGATATGTAATAAAGGATTGTTTTTTGTGACTTTGTGTCCTGTCACTGTATTTAATTCATCAGAATCATTGTTATTGCCATGTAAGTGAGAGGAAGTCACAGACTAGGTAATTGCTTTGGCTTTCGGTGCAACAGTCAAAGAAGAGAGTTAGAGAATAGAAAGGCATAGAAATCAGCATACACTTCTAAGATATAAAAATCATAATTATTACAATTTACTATATAGTAAATATATATATAGTACTTGGTGCACAGAATTTGCAGTAAAGTGAGAGCAAAATAGCTTGTGTATTATTGTGGAAATATAATCATTTTTATTTACTTACTACTAAACTATGGAGGACCAAAACTGTTAAAATAATAAATTAATTAATTTAACATTCTGCCAATAATTATTAAAATAACACCACAAATCATGAGATTTAATAAATACATATTATTATTATACAACGTTTTTTGTTCAAAACATCGCTAACATTAAGCAATACACGTTTGCACAGTCCCACAACGATATGAATGGGCTTTGCACAACAACTTATTTGATTTATAAGTACAATCATGTTTACGTAGGTATATCAAATAAAGCTGAGGTATCTAATTTTCAAACCACACCAAAATACATCTTTAAGACGACAGCTCTAAATCAGTCATCAGTGTCCTCTGTTAAATCTTCAAATTAGCCTGAAGATAAGACAGACATAAGAGAGGACCACCCTGACTCAAAGCATCACATATTGACTGACAGGACTTCTGCTTGTGTTTATAAAATTGTCAAACAATGGACAAAACATAACTTTCGGAAAATATTTTTGTTTTATTTGCAGTTATCCGTGTAAATGAATGTATGCTAATCAAATTTAAATAGCACATGTCTCGTCCAATAGCAACTCGCATGCTAATGAGGATGGGTTGTAGTAAATAAGGGGGGCGGGGAGTCGTATGTATGGTTCTTCCCCTGCTTGTGTAGCTTGTGTAGCTTGTGTGTGTGTGTGTGTGTGTGTGTGTGTGTGTTTTTTGACCAGCTGAAAATGGCGGCCTGGTGCTTCGAATCGATGTAACTTTATCACAATTACAGAAATAATCGTGCCTGGAATAACGTGACATGGGAAGACACGTCGCTGCAACATAGAGCCAGCTTCGATCAGGAAAGCTCCCAGGACGTCCACAGCACAACGAACGCACTGGTAACGGATACAAGTGCTTAACTACTGCGGTGTTGTCGGCTAGCTGCAGGATGCGAGCGACAAGCTAGCTATGAAAGACCTTTCCAAACAAAATGTTTTGATATGGGACTTGGATTTTAGGCACTGATGATACGTGTTTCACTAGCATCCCACAACAAAGCTGACACCACTTCGTTACGTACTGGTGTTAATATATCTTCAAGTTTTGAGCTTTTTGATTGCTTGTTGTTTGGCTTGGCTTCTGGCTAACAACAACATTAGCTACATGCTAACACTGGCTAACAGTAGCTCAACGCTAGAATGGCCCTTTAAACATCTTGCTTGGTCATTTGTTAAAATGATGACCTATATGACTATTTTGATTTACCTTAGTTAGTGTACTGTAAAAAGTGAAAGATTTCTTTCATTTTAGTGACAATGGACGACCCCAATACCAGATACAGTAAACGCCTGGTAAGTATCAATTTATTCTGTTATTATTCCGTTTCGGCCTATTTATAAACCGGTTGAAATGGTGGAATATTGTTATGGCTTAACTTAGGCCTATGTCGTATATTTTTTGCGTCATTTTAGGGCGAGAATTGTGCAGAACCTGATAGGTTCTAGATGTGGTCAAGTTCACGTATTTGTTGCTTTGACCTTATGACACCACTTTTACAATGTTTACCTTTTGTAGTCTTGGTCTTTCAGACCCCGCTTTTACGTCTCCTGTTGTTGGCATGTCTTTGAAAAGGCTTCGTGCTCTGGTAAAAGTAATAATGATGGCAACTTGACAATGTCTACTACAGCTTACATAAGTCTCGGTCTAGGGACTAGTAAAAACACAAAAACATGGACTGTTGCCATAGTGATTAACCAACTAGAAGAAACCCAAAACATTTTTCTCGCCGTTAGCCATCCGAAAATGCTTTTATCTCTAATTATTTCTTTGTGACAATGACGATTGAAAATGGATGTTAGAAAACCTAAATACTCATAAATATGAAATTATTTTGTTTCATAAGGAGGAAAAAAATGAACCTGATAAATGGATGGGGGAGGGGAGCAGATTTGCAAGTGTTTGTCCTTATCCATCTGTCTAGCCAGCCATCACTGCTAAGGGTGAAAAGGCGGGGGCAGTGTGTGAAAGATTAAAGCCGTGTCAGTATGGTACTATTGTTTGATTTGCCACCAAGTGCTTTGTGCTGATCTTGCAGTAGATCCTGTACTTTGTATAGCCATAGTTTTCATCTTAATTTTAAATTGCATACATTTTCAGACAGTGATGAGGGCATGTATTAACATTTATGGACCTATGTGCATGTCATTATTGCATTCCTTGTGTTCGAACTGTTTGTTTCTTTGATCATTTAAGGAATTGACAACTTTGGAAAGTCCTCAGAGACTGTGTGATTTAGGGCTAGATACAGAAATTAATTGCTTTGATTTTAGTAAAATTTTATCCAGCTTGGGTGTTCTTTTATTAGCGTACAGGTACGCGGCGGCGGTACCAGGATGATGGAATATCTGATGATGAAATTGAAGGAAAGCGAACATTTATCCTGGATGACAAATTAATGAGTGACCGCTTCACCTCAGATTTGATCAAATATATGGATGGAAAAGGTTTGACCTACCATACACACAAGGAAATCCACATGACAGTTAAGTAAGCAGCTCTCAAACTTCCCTCTAATATTTGCTCTTAGATTTTACATTTGAATATATCCAGAGGGAGGGCCTCAAGGATCCAATCGTCTTCAAGAAGTCAGATGGCCTTGGCATACAGTAAGACATGTTTATTTTTATATTGTTTCTCGCAGTATCTTGTGGAATTATAGAGAGAATACTCGGTCACTTTTATTCTTCTCCAGGATGCCCGATTCAGATTTTAGTGTGAGTGATGTAAAGGTGTTTGTTGGTGAGTGATGGTATTTTGATCACAGGATAGGGGGTTTATGTTAGAAGATTTACTAATGGTTTATTTTTCTTCTAAAATCACAGGTAGCAGGCGTATTGTTGATGTAATGGATGTAAACACACAAAAAGGAATTGAAATGTCAATGGCACAATGGGGCCGTTACTATGAGACCCCACCATCCGAAAGGGAGAAACTCTACAACGTCATCAGCCTGGAGTTCAGCCACACAAAGTTGGAGAATCTGGTCAAGCGCCCCGCTTCGGTACAATTGTTTGAACATCGGCATGAGAAGTAATTGCTTCAATGTAATTACACATTTTTTCCCTGAATATACTTGCGGCCAGGTGGATCTTATTGACTGGGTAGACAACATGTGGCCACGACATCTCAAAGAAAGACAGACAGACTCCACTAATGCAATCATTGACATGCATTATCCTAAAGTACAGAAGTAAATTATTTCCTTCATTGTAACACAATGTTTTTTGTTTTTTTTCACGCCAATCAATAATCCTTGTTTCTCCTTTAGATATTGCCTCATGAGTGTGCAGGGCTGCTTTACAGATTTTCACATCGACTTTGGTGGCACTTCAGTGTGGTACCATATTCTACGAGGAAGAAAGGTTTGTTTCAACATTTTGTATGTCTCATTAACATTTGATCCTTTTTTATAATATTTTTCAAATTTCAGGTCTTTTGGCTTATTCCCCCATCTCCTCAGAACCTGGACATGTATGAAAATTGGGTTTTATCTGGGAAACAAGGAGATATTTTTCTAGGGGACAAGTGTCATGACTGTCAACGAATAGAGCTGCAGCAAGGTTATACATTCATGATTCCATCAGGTACCACGAGTTATGGATTTGTAATTCACTCAAATGTTGTTTACTCTTTATATTGATGATTATTATTTTGCTTTCAGGGTGGATCCATGCTGTGTACACTCCAGAAGATACTTTGGTATTTGGAGGCAATTTCCTTCATAGCTTTAACATCCCCATGCAACTCAACATCTACAGTATTGAGGACCGTACAAGGGTTAGTCCCAGTCCAGTGTTTCCTAGTGAATTTAATCAACTATGGTTCTATAAAAGTGCTGCTAACATGGTTAAAATTATGTGAAAATTAAAGGTCCCAGTTTGTTGATTGAAGTTGTAAGTACTCTAATAGATTTGATATTTTAAATATATACATTTGTTTTAGGTACCAGCAAAGTTTCGTTATCCTTTCTACTATGAAATGTGCTGGTATGCCTTGGAGAGGTATCTCTATTGCCTGACAAACACCTCACATCTCACTCCTGAATTCCAAAAATATTCTCTTGGAATCGGTAATTATTAATCCATAACTTTATAGACAAAATGACGCTCAGGAATTTATCATCCCATTTGTACTGGAACATTGCAGGTCTTTCTCGTAATGATGTCAATGGAAATGATGCCGCAGAGGAAGCCCTAAATGATGACGAAAATCTAGCTATCAAAACAAAAGAAATTGACCCTGTGAAAGAGGAAATGGATGAAATTGACCTGGCAGTCCCAGAGAAAAGGTCCAAATATGTGCTGACACCCCTGGAGTTGGAGGGACTTTGGAACCTGTTGGGGAAGCTTGAGGAGCTGCCAGACCATAAAAAGTGTGTCCCTTCAGGCATTCAGAATGCTGCAGCTTTGCTTGAAGATATGAGGGTGAGTACATTTTGGTTTTCATCAAAATATTTACATCTCCCATAAGCGTGAAGAAAGATGGAAGCATAAGGAACTTTGTCTATTTTCTCAGGAGGTTTTACTGCAGCATTCAGATGATGAGCCTAACCTGTCTTACACCGGAGAACCCATTGTCAAGTGGCCAAAAAGGGTAAATGGGGAAACCAATTGAATATACAGTGTTGTAACTGTAACTAACTGTTGATGTATTGTGATTAGCCTTCATGGTATGAGCCCCTCCCTCCTCCTCCTCCACCTGTGTTATCCCGTCCTCGATCGGGTCCCACTGAGCACAAAACTAGGCGGTCTACTAAGCGATCAATCTCTGCCCTGCGGCGGAGACGGGTGAGGTGTAAGCGATGTGCCGGATGTCGCAGGACAGAGTGTGGCTCATGCCAGTTTTGTCATGACATGAGAAAATTTGGTGGACCTGGGCGCATGAAGAAGGGTTGTTTAATGAGACAATGCTTGACTGTAAGTTATATATAATCTTCTCATACAAAATAAGGCCTCTGTCAGCTTTTTTATTTCTTACATCTTCTCAGCCCGCTTTGCCCAACACGGCACGGTGCGCCATATGTGGAGAAGGTGAACCAGAGGACTCTAATCCAAGCACTCACACACTCATGGAGTGCTCTGTTTGCAATGGCATTGTTCATCCACGGTGCATTAAGGTATATTAATTGTCGGATTTCAACCAAGAAAATATGACTGTTTGTCACAACTCAATTTGTGATTTTAGGAACCAGGGGAAGGAAAAATTAGAAAAGACTTGCCAAGTTGTTGGGAGTGTCCCAAGTGTTACCAGAGCAAAGGCTCTGAATCAGAGGTATCAAGTGATTTCTTTTCATTGACAATATCCTCTTAACCTTGCTGTCCTGCCCTAATTCATCTGTTTTTTATAAAATTCCAGTCATCCAGTGATGAGGAAAGTGCAGAGTCGGATTGTTTCAACCCCGATGACTGTATTCGTGGAGGCGAACCTCGCAAAAAGACAAAGAGTGTCAAACCTACATCCCGTCCGACGGCACCACCTCCCTCTCAGAGGCTTCTTCTCCAGCAACAACAAAGTCGAAAGAGAGCAAGTGCACTGGAGATTCAACTTAGAAAGAGGGTAAACTCTTTAAAGCTCCACCTCTGGGAAAATTCCATTGAGGCAGCAAGTGTTAATTTTATTATATATTAAAATGTTTTATTATTTCCCCAGATAAAGTTGGAACGAAGCAAAATAATGGCAGTAAGAAATTGCATTTCTTTGTATATATGCGTTTTTAATTTTTTTTTATTTATTATGTATCTTCATAAAAAAATAAATAATTTTGTCTTTCTTCAGCAAAAACGAGTAGCCCTTGAACGCTCGGGCAATCGATTGCTGTCCAGACTGCGATCTCCAAACAGCAGACTGGCCATGGGCAGGGGTCAGGGAGTGACCAGGGCGAGTGCCTCCTTGTTCCCCACCAGAGCAGCAGTTACTGGGACACCAGAGAAGCCTCCTTCTGCGAGTGTGAGTTCCAAAGGCAGAGGCCGCGGAGTGAGATTGAGAGGTGGAGCAGCAGGCAGAGGGTTTCACTCCAGAGACCATAGAGCTGTCATTGACAGTGAAGATGATAGCAGCAGCAGCAGCAGCAGCAGTAGCAGCAGCAGCAGTGGTTCCAACAGCAGCACAGAGGAAGAGGAAGAGCATGGAGTACAAAATGGCTCTCCAGGAGGGGACAAAGAGAACCAGCCCCAAACGATGAAAGATCTGGAAGATGAAAAAGACCAAATTTGCACTCACAACTATGAGGAGCAGATGGAGAAAGATGCCCAAACTGAAAATAAAGAAGGCTTTAACAAAGTAACCCTCCAAGTACCAAGCAAGGCTAAGCAAGACTCTGCTGCTATTGTTCCTAAACTGGAAGCTATTGCTTCAACTACTACTGCATTAATACGCAACCAGTATAAAGCCCTTCCTCGACCACCAATCAGACGACCTGACATCCAGACAAACAAGTACACTCCACCGCTCACACGCAGCGGTCATCAAAGTACTCGCAAAAAACGCCAAGAAAAACTGGAGACATCTACAGCAATAAAAGACTGTAAACTTGTTAAACTTGGCCACGGTGTTGTAGCTTCATCATCCTCTGATCATCCTCGCATCCCTCTGTCAGCGCTCCAGGAAGGCGGCAGTGAGGCAGACAGAGAGAGCAATGGCACAGGGACAATCTGTGAAAGGGAGGTTTGGGTTTCAGTCTTCCGCTACTTAAGCCGAGCAGATCTCTGTATCTGCATGGCAGTCTGCAAAAACTGGTACAAATGGTAATTCAGATTTTTTTATTTTGTCTGATATGAATGGTTTAAAATGAATATTGACTATATGAATATGTCTCTCACAAGGTGCCTGGACAAAAGGCTTTGGCCAAAGATTGACCTCAGCATAAAGTCTGGTGTCACTCCTCAGGCTCTTGTTGGTATCATAAAAAGGCAGCCCGTATCGCTGGATCTGTCTTGGACCAACATTTCCAAAAAGCAGCTTAACTGGCTCATTGGACGCTTACCTGGTATGCAAACGGATAACTGCATTTTTCCCCACACTTTGCTCTAATGCCAAACTTTTTTTTAAATCACAGGTCTAAAGGATCTGATGTTAGCCGGCTGTTCTTGGGGATCCATTTCTGCTCTCTGTTCATCTAGTTGCCCTCTCCTTCGTTCTCTAGACCTGCATTATGCGGATGGAGTCAAAGATGCACAAGTCCGGGAGTTGATCAGCCCGCCAGGTGAGGATGAGATTAAATGAAGCAACACCAGAAATCAGTCAAAGATACATACCAAATTGGCTTGTGTAACTTTTTACCTAATATGATTTCAGGTTGTGATAACCGCAGTCAACTTCGCACCATTCAGAGTTTGAGATTCTCGGGTCTAGACATCACTGACTCAACTGTTAGGCTTGTAATCCGCCACATGCCACACTTAACAAAACTCGATCTTTCGCACTGCAACAGTCTCTCGGACCACTCCATCAATCTGCTTACTGCTGTAGGCTCCTCCACACGAAACACCCTCACAGAGCTCACCTTGGCAGGTATGTGAGAACGTTGCATCTTCTGATTTATCATCAGTCTATTAAAATGTCTTTTGTCCTTCAGGCTGCAGTAAATTGTCCAATACATGCCTAAGGTATCTCCGCCGTCTTGCCTGCATCAGTCTACTTGACTTGCGGGGCTGTAACGGTGTCTCCCGCAAAGCTTGTGAAGCTTTCATCTCTGAGCTCTCTGTCAACACACTCTACTGTCTGTCAGATGACAAACTGATCGAGCGGATATCTTAACCAACTGCCATAAACTACACATTCACAGGTGACAATGCTGCATAGGAAACACCAGAACTGTACTGAAGCCATTTGGACACTAATGATGCTTCTATGTGGTGTGCAGATGGATTCAAAAGACTGCTTTAGGGACAATTCAATTGATCTTGGTGCCGGGGGTAACTGCCAGAACCGGATTTCCCCCCCATAGAGTTATAGTTTTCACTTTTCTACTTAAAATACTCAGGAGCTCTAATTTTCTTTTTATATAGTAAAGATGGTGATTTTAAAACTGGTGCCGTTAAGCAGAACTTTACTAATTTGCGCTCAAGCTCATAGATGGTCTAGTAAAGCCCCTCCCCTTCATGCACGGATCTGTTGTTTTCGTGTTTTTTTCAGTTTGAAGGTTTTTATTTTGTACTTGCATGTGGCTTTATTAAATCTGGGTTTCCAGCTCCATTATGTCATAAGACAAAGTAGATTCTAATTTCATAACTGTTAATTATAATGGTGGTTTATGTGATGATGATAAGAGTCACTGTTAACATTTAAACATGATGCTAAATATAGCTGTAAAAGACAGTGAAAAGGCAATCGACGGCTACACAAGACCTCAACCCAAATATTCCTGGTTGCATTCAGTGCAGAGTAAGGTTTAACTAACAGCTTTCAGGTGCTACGATTTATAAACGTGTTTTTGTACAATTTAGACTTAATGTCCTCACCACTCATTATTTTATTTTAATTAGAAAAGTGTTTATCAGGCTTTCAAGACAAATAAAGCATACAATTCCAGTTTCATTTTCAGTCTTCTGTATTTATGGTGACTGACGGCTCTCTTAAGTGTGTGTGGCCACTTAAAACAAATGACTATTGTAAAAAAAGATATACTTTTGTGTAATTCAGTTTTACTTAGAGTATCAAACTGGAATATTGAAGCATTGTAATTATTTTCCAATACATTTTTCACTTGATACTTGTGTTATTTTTCAAATAAAACAAATGGGAGGTTATGTTTTTCTTACTGTGCTCACTAAATCATTATGGGCTCCACCCTGTCTCCCTTTATAAACATGGAAATCTAGCAAAGAGGAGGCACGCACTCATAATTGAACAGCCTACTGTAAAATATTCTTCACAAGCAGCTTGGTGTATATATTAAGGAACCCGTCTCGACAGATGTGGACAGCTCCATGATCTCTGGGCAGAGCAGCAGCTGTCACCGCTCCTAGACCACTAAGACCTGGATATGAAACCGCGGCATTCGCGTCTACGCTTTATTTGGACAATTCCAATGATCCCTCAGATTTAAGCTTGCACGTTTTTGACATGGCATTTTAAGGCTTTCTCCTCCCTGGGGAGAGCGACACACGAGGCGCAGGTGGCGCTCAACGCCGCATGGCCCGCACCCAGGCACATGAAGCAGCTGGAGTGCTGGTCCTTGCGTTGGAGCTTGCCCCGACAGGTCGAGCAACGACGACGTCCGACGCCGGATGGCGAAGGGGAACTCGGACGTGCATCAGAAGACATCTTTCTTTCTCAGGTAACGAATGTAGATCTCAAACGGCGCCAGAGTGAAAGAGGGGGTGCGGCCTTGTGCAGGGGCATTTATAGAGGAAGGTGGCTGGTGATTGGAGCAAATTATTTTGATCTCTCTGGCGTCTGTGACCTGGGGGTCACGTGATATCCCACTAGCGAAGTCCTAAGGGACGTAGCACCATGACGTAGAACCGCGGCATTCGCGTCTACGCTTTATTTGGACAATTCCAATGATCCCTCAGATTTAAGCTTGCACGTTTTTGACATGGCATTTTAAGGCTTTTATTTTATACCATACACATGTGGATTCATCCAGGAGCGCAGTCTCAGATTTCAGTGGAGAATGAGAATGTGCCGAGTCCAGGTCCAGTCTCGTTGGTCAGTACTGTTAGCCTGTGTTAGCCCAGCTAGCTTAACATCAAATTAGTGGGCTGAGTTAGCCAGGCCAACTCAGCCCACTAATTATAAATGTGTAGAACCTATTTGTTAATTTCAAATGATAACTTCAAAATTCCCTTTGATTTCGATGTATAATATAGCAAAGTAAACGTGCTAACTTGCTAGCAAACCACCATAGAGCCTTGCACTCCTATGGTTTCAGTATCTGCAAGCTGCATAGGTAATCTATCATAGCTTTATTCCAATTTGCCAACAACTCTACAACCATGGCCCAGGAGACCTATCCTTTGCATTATTTGGTGTGGAACAATCAGTTCATGGAGCTTGACCGGGAGCTGCAGAAGAAACAGGTAAAGTATGAGTGTGACATGTTTTCGAGCCCTGCATTGCGATGAAGTTGATGATGATGATGTGCAGCACAACGTGGACGGTCTGGACACCCGCGGGCGCACCCCCCTGGAGCTGGCGGTGAGCCTGGGACATCTGGAGTCATCCCGGGTGCTGCTGCGACACTGCTCCGACCCTACACACGCGGGGGCACAGGGCTGGACCAGTTAGTTCACTACCATAACTAACATATTAGCAGTCCGAGGTCCTCTGACAGCATATGTTTCAGTTTTGCAGGAGGCCGTGAGCACCGGAGACCCAGAGCTCGTCCAGCTCGTCCTGCAGTATCGGGACTTTAAACGTGCCACAGAAAGGCTTGCAGGAATCCCAGAACTGCTCAGCAAACTTAGACGGGTAATTGTACTCAAATTCTTAATATTGTTTAATTTCTGTACCAGATCATTTAGACATTGATTCTTTTATTGCAGGCACAAGACTTTTATGTAGAAATGAAGTGGGAGTTCACCAGTTGGGGTAAATACTCTTTACCGTAGAAATCATGTTCAGCACCATTTCTGTTGGATAGCTCCACATTGATTTTTTTGTTTTGTTTATCAATAGCATGTTTTGTTATTAATACTGTGGACAATAGGGCTTCTCAAAGGTATATCGTATAACTGAAAATACAAATTTGCATTAAAATATCACTGGATCCTCTCAAATGTTGCAGTCACTGTTTATCTATTACATTAATTCTTATTGTCAGTGTTCAAGTGATAAACAGTGTAGCTTTGTTCCACATACGTTTACTGCTTAATGAAGCACAAATAGTGACTTTGAAACCTGAATAGGAAACATTTAACCTGAAACTGAACTGAAACATGGTTTTTTCGAAACACTAACAAGAGTAAATGGCGGCACCTGCTGGCTGTTTGCCAGAGCCGCATTAGAATGAATGTGGGCTGAGGTGTAAAGTTAAACGTAATGATAAATGCTGTATAAACAAAAAGTCTTGTAAAAACCTGTTATTTTTTGCATGCTAGAAATTTTGATCGAACTAAACTGTTTTGAGAGTGAGCAACTAGTTTGATGGATTTTATTGCACAGTTCATGTTTGAGTTTGTTTGAGCAGTGTTTCGAAGCAGCTCAAATCCTCTTTCATATTTTCTTTGTGTCAAATGAATTGAAAACAAATTAACAGTAATATATTTCCAGTCACTTAGAAATCTTTAACTAGTATGGAAGAAAAACTAGTATTTTTTACAAACCAGTATTTAAGTTAAGGTCAAGATACAAGCTATTATATGTACTATATGTTTATTTTTTTGAGACTGCCTTTGAAACAACCGTTCAGTTATAGTGTTTCACACTTGCACAAAATATGACAAACCATCACAGAGAAGCCAAATGCAGTTGCAAGTTATGAGTATTGTTAACAACATTGAATTCATTCACTTGGAAGCATTGCTAACCACTATAAACCTGTTATGTCCATTTTATTTTTTCACTATTCACTTTTCAGTTATTTGTCATTTTGTCATCAGCAAAGTAACTTACTAGCTTTTTTATATGTAAGGAGTATAAAGTTCACATGGTTGGGTTCCAAAGTAAGGAGTGAAAGTAGAAAAGTTGTCAGAAAAATAAAAAGTCAAGTACTTAAGTACATCACACTGTTTTAAACTCTGGGCCTCATTTATCAAGAATTTGTTGATGTGAAGAACTGAATAGCACCCCTTAATATTGGAGCCAACTGATTCATGATGCACATTTCCTATAATCAATTTCCAAGGTTTTCTTCCACGGTTTAGAACCTAGATGGATAAATGAGGGCCTCAGTGTATGCACAAACAACCAGTGTCCTTTTGGTTAAACTGGCTATTATTCTTATTGACTTTAACAAAAATGTTGTTTCTCACCATTTCAGTGCCTTTAGTGTCGAAGGTCTGTCCTAGTGATGTTTACCGTGTGTGGAAAAGTGGCTCGTGCCTGCGTGTGGACACTACTCTTCTGGGCTTTGAGCACATGACCTGGCTGAAAGGGCGGCGGAGCTATATCTTTAAGGGTGGAGGTGAGTATTTTACATAGATGTATTGGGTATGAAACAACATCCATCCATCCATCCATCCATTTTTCTGCAGTGACTCATTAATGAAACTTGTCAGGACAGGTGTTTGTGACAGAAAATCTGCACTGCTTCACATCCAGCCTCACCACCACATACAACAATAACACTTTGCCTGGGACCTGCCATTGCTGCTCTCCTTAACTATACTTCTGTTTCATATGTACTAATATATTAATATACTAATATACTCCAATACTCAATTACTGCAAATTTTGAAAAGCTCTTAATTTGAATAAAGTTCTCCACACATTAAAAGCGGCCCTTTATGCTCTTACTTACTGTAAAAGTGGAAAGGGAAGCCGCAATGATGAGCCGCTAAAATTCACTTTTAAATGTTTTTGTTTGTTTAATCTGAAAGAGTTTTGCAACTACTTTCATAGCACACTGCACACTGGCTCATGGTAATGCCCTCTACTACTGTGCAAAGTAATATTCACTTTTACTGTGGAAATTGCAAAGAAACTGGGGTCAAAGTGTGCAATTACGGTCCAAAATAGACCTTTTGAACGTTAGTGAACAAGTGTGCTGTGAAAGTAGTCGCAAAACTCGGAACCGGTTCCATTGACAGTCATACAGTATAGACCAAAAGATTGTACACTCTTGGCGTTCTCTTGATGAGCTTCAAGAAGTCGTGACCTGAAACGGTCTTCCAACAGTCTTGAAGGAGTTCCCACAGAGGCTAAGCACTTGTTCTGGATTGGGTTCAGGTCCGGTGACTGTGGAGGCCAGGTCACCCATCACTCTCCTTATTGGTCAAATAGCCCTTACACAGCCTGGGTGTGACTCTACAGTCAATAGTCATGAAAGTAAAGGAAACTCATTGAATGAGAAAGTGTGTCCAAACTTTTGGTCTATACTGTACATCTCCACACCATGATCGTACTACTTTCACTGACTTCCAGTGGTCAATACTGATGTCTCAGCTTATGTTCCTTTCCCTTCTCCAACTTTTCACTTTTTTCCCCTTGTCTCCTGTGTCTATAGACGATGGTGCTCTGGTGATGGAGGTGGACCATGAGAAGCAGGTGGTGTACACGGAGCCATTGGTGCTGTCACCTCGAGATGCACCTTCTCTCCTCGCAGCCATGCAGCCTTCACAGGAAAACACGGCCCAGAGACTGACCTCACCGATTGTCTCCACACACCTCAATACTCGCAACATTGCCTTTGAACGGTAATGCCAGCTTCTGAACATTTCCAGTTTGTTCTTGAGCGTGCTTAAAGATGGGGTTCCTAACTTTCAAATATTCAAGTAATAATCTCTCAAAACTGTTTGCTTCTATTACTATTTTTCACATTCATGCATTTATTGGTCTCCCTCACATCTTTAGATGAGATTTTTCAGACCGAAAAAGGACAAAGATAGGACTATCCTTTTGGCTCTCAGCTCAAAGTATCAAAAAGTGACTCACAGGGAATTATTTTGTAATTTTTCTGTTATTTTACCAACTTTATATATAGTTTGCCCAGATTGAAAACACCAATTTAGTGTGGTGAGACCTGTAAGATGATGGCCTTTTTCTAAATCTCAGGAACAAGTCTGGAATTTGGGGCTGGCGTTCAGAGAAGACAGAAGTTGTCAGTGGGTACGAAGCCAAGGTCAGAATATCAAATCCGATTTTTTGAAAAAGTAAACAGGAATTTGGTGTATGGTATTGCCATGTAATTTCATTTCTTAATGTATCCAGGTTTACAGTGCTACTAATGTGGAGCTGGTAACTCAGTCGAGAACAGAGCATTTATCAGACCAAGACAAATCAAGAAGCAAAGGTGACCCATGTGAGAATATTTTCAGGATCAACACAAAATTAAATTCTGAGTTTTATTAATTATTTCTCTTGTAATAGGCTCAAAGACACCTTTGCAATCATTCTTGGGAATTGCTGAACAGCACACAGCAAATAATGGAGTAAGTATTTTCCTCAACACTTGGACTGCACACAACAAACAGCATTGTGCTTCATCTGTGTGTGTTTCAGAGTAATGTGTCCCAGTGTGCCAGTCCTCACAACCCCACAGCCATCACTGCGGAGGAGTACTTCGACCCAGAGTTCAACCTGAACGGACGAGACATCGGACGACCTATTGAGCTTACCAGTAAAGTCCAAAGGTTATTGAATACTTGAATGAAAATTAAAATACTTTTTTCCTTTTTTGAACCATTGAAAACACACAAGTCCAGGTCAAAATGTCCAAAAATAAACTTGAACTGACCCACATTGCAATGCTAATTTATTTAGTGCTATGTAGTCTGGCTGTGGACAGCTCCAAAATGGCACACAAAAAAATCACTATTGACAGAAAAACAACATTTGTAAAAGTTGGGTTGGATATGCCAATCCATTTGATTTGAATCCTTATTTGATATGAAACTATGTACAGACGAGTTGGTAAATGTATGAACAATCTTTTGACCACTCCCAGAGCCTGCTCTGCTGTGATTGGGTGCACCAGCTTGAATTGTCTTTATTTTATCTTACCAGGTTCAAAGCGACGCTGTGGCTCAGTGAGAGTCATCCTTTGTCTCTGGCTGAGCAGGTGACTCCTATTATTGACCTCATGGCCATTTCAAATGCCCACTTTGCAAAATTGCGTGACTTCATCACCTTGCGTCTGCCGCCAGGTTTTCCTGTTAAGATTGGTACAAGTGTAATATTTTTTTTATTCTGGATTATATTTCTATATTTAAAAAACCCAATTATGTCCTCAGAGATTCCCTTGTTCCACGTGTTGAATGCTCGGGTCACTTTCAGTAACTTGTGTGGTTGTGACGAGCCTGTCAGCTCAGTGTTACTCCACCAGCCTGAGAGCGCAGCAGAAGCAGGTCGGAGCTGGGAAACCAAGATTAAAATGATCTTGTCTTTTTCCAGGTTCATCATTACATTGAGTTTATAATCCTCAGGTCAAGCAGCTCCACCTTTTCACTGTGAAGTTGACCCATTGGTGTTTGAACCCCCAGCGGACTACACCACTCTGGGTCCAGGGCGCAGTGAACCGATGCGCGATGAGGACGATAATCTACTGCAGTTTGCTATTCAGCAAAGTCTGTTGGACGCCGGCACAGAGAGTGACCAGGTGTGACCAAATAGTGTGAAACATTTACATGTACAGTGGGGAAAAAAGTACTCAGTCATTCACCTTTTGTGCTCCCAAGTCCTCGCTTGGGAGCATGGACTTTGAATTCCCTCCAAATATTTTTAAGGGGTTGAGATCTGGAGATTGGCAAGGCCACTCCACTTCTTCGTTGCCTGGCAGTGTGATTGAGATCATTGTCGTGCTGAGAGACCCAGCCATGTTTCATCTTTGATGCCCTTGCTGATGGAAAGAGGTTTTCACTCAAAATCTCCCAATATATGGCCCCATTCCTTGACGCGGATCAGTTGACACCCTTAGGCTCCACAGTAGGTTTGGTGATTTTTGGAACTTGACCAGGCTCATATGAAACTTGCTAGAGAGCATTTGGTTGATCCAGAAGGGGATTGTGAGAATGTCCTATGGTCAGATGAAACCAAAATAGGCCTTTTTTGTAAAACTTCAACTTTGGAAAAACCTTGTGTTTGCAGGAGAAATAATGCTGAATATTTCAGGCATCACTCATCTTTTTAATTGGGAGGACTTGCACAATTGGTGACTGACTAAATTCTTTTTTGCCTCACTGTACATATTTCAAAATTCTTCTCTTGTTCTGTGGTCTGTCTTTTTATACGGTATTATTGAGCTAATACATTTAAAGTTGGTACAATAGTGACATTTTGTAAATGGAGATGAACAGAATTATTGTTGTAACCACAGCAGTGGTTCCTGTAGGGGCACAGAAGAATGAATCTACACAGGCTGTCAAAGACTTCTTAAGAGGTTGAAGACCAGTGGAACTAGCATTTAACTTGCATTATGCTTGTAGTGTCACTCTTTTTTTTTTGTGTGGATGAATGCGTTAACTTGTATACTTCTTGCATTCATTAGGTTACAATATGGGAGGCTCTGACCAATAGTCGCCCTGTTCCTCAGTCTCCATCATTTGATGAAGACTCTCAGTTGGAAAGGTAAGTAATTAGTTAAACAATAACAAGCAGGACTTTCTAAATTCTCAAATTATTGAGGAACAAAGTGAAAACTGAAAAGCAGTGAGTAATTGTCACTTAGTCTGGAGACCATCTTTTTTATAGTGCAGGAAAAGTTGTTGAAAAGCTACACTCTTTGTTGATTTATTTTGCTGGCTTAATCTATGTCTCCCAGGGCAATCCAAGAGTCCCTGACCATTTCACTGGCCGGTCGAGAAGCTGATGGCACAGAAGACTTAAACCAGTCCACTTCGGTCTCTCCTGAGGACCCGGCTGAGACCCGGTCTCAGAGCTCTGGGCAGTTCGGGGTGGCAGCAAACTTTGATGAACAGCTGCTGCTCGCCATGGAGCTGTCATGCCGAGAACAGGAGGAAACAGACAGGTCTATTTTACTATAATTACATTTCACCGCCATGTACATGGATGAGGGCCTTTGAATGGAAGTTTGACAGCCTTCTGCAATTAAAAACTACTATGTACGTTCTCCATACATGAAATGACAGGTTAAATGTTATCATTGTGTTGTATGATCAATATGCAGAATTTTACAGGCGTTAATTTGAAAAACACAGGCGAGAATCTATCATTTGAATTGATATAATTCCCACAAACCACCAGGAGCGCTGTTTGACAAGATTTATGAATGACTTTTTGATGCCGTAGTCCAAACCGGTCCAGAAAGGGCATGTTATGCTGTAGACTCTGAAGGGCTACCTAAATATATTTTCATGTTTTTGCACTCAACGTATACTAATAAACAACAATCTTTGGTTTGGAAAATGTTAAACGTGAGAGGTGGATCCATATAAAGCACTGATGTTAAATTGTCACATCTTTTTGTAGGAAGCGTAAAGAGGAGGAAGAGGAGCTGGAGCGGATACTGCAGCTGTCACTCACCGAGAAATAATGACACAAGAACACTTTTCAAATGGACACTTATTTATGCAGATTATTTATTATTTTATTTTCCAAATAAGTATATAGTAAGTTATTAGAACTGTTTGAGTGCACTGGCTGCTACACACAAAGACAGGAGCGAGAGAGAAGTGACCGGTACAAAGGGAATAATGTTTCTTTAAATCTTTCTCACATTGTTGAAGTGCTGAATAATCCTGTATAATCCACAATGGGCACAAAATGAAAAACATGATTCAAAAATTGGCTTTGTTTCGACTTCTTATGTGTGAAAATAAAGAATACCTATAGATCCATGTTGTAATTATGTTTATGTGCAATAATGGTTAGCTGAAATACCTTTCTGTCACCTGTTGCCACATACCCTCCTGAATGTATTGAAGACCTGCGTTTGAAATACTGCCTTTTCACTTCAAGATCCAGTAATACATTTGCAAAAAACATTTTATTCTCATCCATGAAGTGAAATGAAAAGGGATGAGAGGATGACAACAATTACATTTATTTTCATATTTATTTATTTATTCATTCTCTTGTAACCCTCTGAATAATAAAACAAATATTCTCAGCATTCACTGTGGCAAATGACAAAATGGACTAACGTGACAGAAGCAGACTAAAGCATATGCACTGTGTATAAATATTGGAAGAGTAGAAATCATCTCAAGGGTTCATCTCGTATGCGGCGTCATCGTCAGCACTGCGGTAGACCCCCTCCCGCCTCTTCAGTAGAATTTTACGGAGCTCCCCATCAAACTGTCCTACATCAGAAAAGTTTATTTTTTATTTTTTTTAAATCACAGCTCAGTTTAACCATTACATGCACTCGTTTTACCGCTTCTCGTATGTGTGGGTTCATCTTCCGGAACTAGGTATTCATTGTCTGATGGAACTGGTGTTGGCACAGGCACATCCTTCGTGTGGACCATAGGTGGCACCTTTGCTTTTGGTTTAGTCTTTGATGTGGGTGAAGGAGGAATCAAAGGCTTCTCTAGTAAATAATAAAAACAAATGATTTGGTTTTTAGCACAACATTTTTAAAGGCAATTCACTGTATTTATAGTATGTCAAAGACGTGGAGGTAGCAGAGGTGAGAATGTAAAGAACACTTGAAATATACTAGAGAAACTCAGAAAATTTCGAAAATGTTTACTTCTGTCAATAAACATACAATGTGAAACAATGATATGACAGATTCATTACCTGCTAAGTGAAATACATCAAGTATTTATTTTATTTAATGTAGATGATTATGCCTCACAACTTTGTCCCAAATAAAACATCCCAAGAAATGGGAATTTTGAAAATACAAGCATCAAAAGGATAACAAACAAAGCTCTGACAATGGTGTGTCACTTTGCAAGTGATGAGTCTATATCATATATTGGTTTCCCATTTTCAGTTGAATTACAGGAATAAATGAACTTTTCAACAGTATTCTAATTTTCCCAGTTTCACCTGTATTTAAAATAAGATATGTTACTTTCCTGGCCAGCCAGACTACATGCTTTTTCCATCCTTCTTTAGAACGGAAAGGAGGAGCTTCTGGCTGCACATATAATATGGCTATAATGTTTCAGCTCACAGGGGCCTTCAAGCTTCACAGAAAGACCCAGACCGTTATAGGGAAAGAACCCAAATTGGGAATAATGGAATACTGTATGTAAAGATCATTATTAGAATATGGGGGACAATAGACTGTTTAATTATGGAGATTAATTGATTGCTCAACTAGTAACGGTTTTAGTTATCAGATATTGATCTTGTTCTGTTAATACACATCTCTCTTGGATCAAGAATTGCATGTAATTATCTTGTTCTGCCAGTGGTGGAAATTGTTCCAAAATTAGTCATTTGGACAATGTATTTGTAACAAAGATATCCAACCAGAAGTGACCATTTGCTTCTTGTTTTGGGTGAGACTAATGAGGTCAGAGTGGATGTACAGCTGTTCATTCCAGCTGTGCAGTCCATTTTAGCACGACTAAGAATGGATGGAAGTTGAAGCATCTTGATTACAAAAACAGTGCCCAATTACTTCTTCTGAAACCCTTTCGAAGATGGGGCATGACTGAGGGATTACATCAGCTCTTCCACCAGTGTAGACTAAATAGGCTTAGAGGAAAGACTGGAATGGTGGCAAATTAAAAACTTAAATCACCAATGGTGGTATCATAAGGACCGGAGGGACAAAATGGATGAAGGCGGTACTCTGTTTTCTCAAGAACATAATTGATCACTGCGTTTAGTGTTGGCACTTTAACCTGGAAAGACAAATAAACACTGATGTACTGTCTGTCGCACATAACAAATGTAACATTTTGAGAATTGTTACCGGGGAGTCAAGTTCAATGATGAAACGCGAATCTGGAGTTTCAGTAACCATGTAGTTCTTCATAACTGGCCCACTGCAATGTTACGTCTGATTCGTCAACAGAACAATGTAAAACTACAGGAAAGAGTTGTAAGTGTGAGATTTAACCTGCTTCCAAGATGTCTCATGGTCAAGCCGTAGCTGTTGGTTTTGCTGGAGGGTCGAAGGATGATGCTTCCAAACTCTGGATTGTTCTCTAGCATTTGCTCTGCCTCCTTTCGGGATACACTGAAGAAGCACCTGTCCGAGAAACAAAAAGGCTCCAATACAATTAGAAAACACATAACTACTCCCTATTCTAATGAGGTATGTCCATGTGCTGAGCAGAGGCTGGTGGTTGTGAGAAGTTGTATATCTTGGTTGACCACTTCCTTGGTCAACCAAGGAAGAATAAGAATAAGTACCCCTCGCAGGTGGGTCACTATTATCAAGCAACAAAAGAATACATGTTTCTCTGCTGTGTTTCTTACGAAGGCATGGCCTGGCTGCTGTTGTCCAAATTCTTTTCAGGTATTGAAAAGGAAGCAGTGGGTGGTGATGAAGAGGAGAGGAAGGCAGGTCGCGGAGGAAGAGGAGGGTTTGATCCCAGCGCTGCTGTCCTCCTCTTCTCCTGAGCCAGAACATCCTTCAGGAGCAGCATCTGACCAGGCAGCAACTGCAGCGTGCTCGGGATCTCCTTCTGCAAACAAGCAACAAACACCTTTACTGTACTGCAGAGGTGGGATCAAGTTTGTTCCAAGTCTCTGGCCCTTTCAGGTCTGAATCAAAACCGTACAGCTATGTTGTATAGAACGTATTGGTAGTTGCTGGAGGATAACTGTTTTATACATTAGTCACACACATTTCAGTTTTTCCAAAGTGGTTTTACTGCAAATGGCAAATATATGCTTGTATTTGTCATGTCCTCATCTCAACAATATTGAGTATGAGATTCACTGTTAAAATGACCAGCATGATCCATATAGAGGCTAATCTTGTGTTCATTTCTTTGTAGTTTCTAATTTACCCTCGTCTGTAAAAGATGAATTGAGCCTGTTTTCACGCGTTAGATGCAGTCGCACCAGACGGTAAAACAACTGTGTTGCTCTACATCTCTCGTTTATTCAAGGTACAGCCGTTATATATTACTTTGTTGCATAGCAACATGTAACAACATCAGAGCATGGCGCGTGCCAAAACCATGTACTTACTCAAATCAAATCTTATTACAATCATGTTGGCATAACATTTTCTAAATCAAATCAAATATTAATAATGACATGTAAATTATGTGAATACAATAAACATGTAAAAATGGCGCTTACAATCCATGTATTTCTAAACCTGTTTTATAACTTTAAAGTGATATATTTTTCAGTAATCTTTCAGTGTTTCCAGTTGCATTCATTGCATATCATTTATCTGGGAAAAACAAAACGAAACACCTTTGATAATTTGTTAGAACTTTGTAGATGTAGGTATTAGTGAAAGTAATCTTTATAACATACATTTAGGTGGTAACATTGTTTAACCAGGACAACAATGTCTTGGTTAAAGTTTCACTAAACTATAAATGTAAATGTGGTTATCTTTGTGATTTGTCTTTCAGACCTAGATTATTACCATGACTCTAGAAACCACTGCTTTAACATGTACAGTACTTTGGTCTTACTTTTACTACAGTGAGAATGCATCCTCTCCACTCCTCTCCTGTGTCTGCGTTGTCAATCTAAGGGTTTCATCAAAAATCAACACAAGTTGGTCTTGTATTCCAATCTTAACGTATAATAGAAATGTTGTTTACCTTTAGTTTTATGTCTTTACTGCCTGTAATGGTGAGGGTGAAGATTGCTGGTGATGTTTTGTGAAGAGAATCTAACTTTATAGACTTTAGCTGATCAAGGTCCAGTCTTTCTGTATACTATAAACACATAGAATGCATTCTTAATTGTATGCAAGTCTTACTGTGTAAACAAGACACAGAAAAAATAGAATAAAAAGTAAGACAAGACATGTTTTCTTACCGTATGCTGTGTGACATCTTCAAAGAAGAACAACACACCTCCACGCAACTCTCCATAGAACTTCTTGAAGTCCTGATGATTACAACACAATTTCTGGCATCTGCTGTTCACATAACATTATGTGTTTTACCTTTTCTCCCGTTTTCTTCATGAACAAGAGTCCAGAGTAATAGAGAGGCAGAGCTGTGATTGTTTCTCGCCTTTGATGGACCGTTCTCTGAGGAACAGACATAATTTTTTGCTTGTTTGGTTAATTTAACTTACTTACACTAACTTGATCTAGAGTTAATAAACTACATAAGCAACTAGTATCCCTGTCTTTCTATGGTCTGAACACTGGAATGAGGAAGCACATTTGTGATTTATTAAAAAAGGTAGCTGGGTAGTAGCAGCACAACTTTAGACTTTGATCCTGCTCTGCCATCCACAATAAAACAGACCACTTGTGTACTTGAAACAAGGGACTTCCAGGAGTCATTTTTCTACTCAAATAGGAAACTTGAAGAAATAACAAAAGGCTATTTGTTTCTTCAATGACTATTTTAATAGTTAATAATGTTGACAGAAAGAATAGTAGAACTCTATAATTATTTTTTCCCTACATGTACGAAATGAAATTGGTATGAGGGTTTGGTAAGACCAGGTTTCATCACCACAGAAAAGGGTTAGTTCGACTTTACCAGATCCTCTTTTAAGATCTTGCCCAATCACAATGATCCTTCTGCTTATACAAAGGCTTATTCTAAATTTATTAAAATGTCTGTATCTCCTAAAGTAAAAGAGACTCATTTCAAGATAATTAATCACATTTACCCAGTGGGCAACTTTCTTAAAAGACGATTTAAATTTTAAGTTGAATCTTGTACATTTTGTAACATTGAAGATGAGTCACTAGATCATTTATTTTCCCATTGTCGTTACACTCAACAGTTTTGGTCTGAATAGTTGGCTTAATCCCAAAATGAAAATTCAACCTGTGAACATATCTCATATATTGTATTACATGGACAATTTAGACTCTCATGCGGAACCTGTTGTTAATGTGGTCTTGATGTTAGCAAAATATCACATCCACTGTAGTAAGTGGAGAGGGAATAAACCCTCCTTTCCCTGTTTCATCAACGAATTCAAGTTATATTATAGCTCTTTAACATCCATCCATCCATCCATTTTCTTCCCCTTAATCCATTTCTGGGTCGGGGGGGTGGCAGTCAGAGCTGCACCCAGTTCACAGAGCACCAGCCCCTCACTGATCCTCCTGCAGGTGGCGAGTCCACAGGAGCTGAGATCTTTCAGCGGGGGCTTCAGGCAAAGTGGGGTTAAGTGTCTTTCCCAAGGACACAACGACAGCAGTCATCAGTGGGAGTCGTGAAGTAGGTCTTATGGTGGGCTCGAACCCATGACCTTCAGGCCTAAAGGCCAGTGCTCTACCAACTGAGCTACTCTCGCCCCTAAATCTGACAGAACGAACTCTTATTTGATTTCCAAGTATCTTTTGTTTTAATTATTCTATTGCTCAGTTTAATTGTTTAATGTACATTGTAAATGTAGATTTTTTTATTGAAGTGCCTCTGCCCCCTAGCTTGGTTATTTGAGTCCTCTACTTGTGTTTGTTTATGTATATGTTCTATTGTTCTTAGTAAAGTTTATTAAAAAAATAATAATAATAAAAAAAGGGTCAGTTCTGTTTAGGAGCTGGTCACGGTTAAACAGCGCCCTCCGCTGTTGGCTTGTGGTACTGGCCATCAAATGCCTGTCCCCGGAAGTCGTCGTGATATTTGCAAGACACTCAAAGTATCCGGTAAAGATTATAATGTTTATCTTGCAGGCACAGCTTGTATATATTATATGGCCTGGGTCTGCTCTTACAACACTCGAATAAACGTATTTGATGTTTAATTTAAGTTATTTAGCATGTTGCTATCGTTAGCTTCTCCACGTGTATATCCTACACAAGCGGGGGTGTACATTTCCTTCTCTTGGTAAAATATGGCATAAACGATACTCTCCGGGGTAACTATTTGCGTTCTGCTATACGTGTAAGGAACATGAATGAAGATTACTTTATTGAAGATTTGAAATCTTCAGAAGATGAAGATGACCATTCTTGGACGCCGAAACGGTTTGGATTCATCAACACTGATGACCCTCCTGCATTATTGGCTTACTCCATCACCTCTGGACTAGGAGAACAAAACTCAGAGCCTGGTCCTTCATGTGTCGTGGATCCTGATGGATATGAGCACGAAGAGGGGAGCAGTGATGAGGCTGTGGAGGGGTGGATGATCCTGGACCAAGACCCAGAGGAAGAAGACTCAAACATCCAACTTAACCTGAGCTTCTCCATCAGCTCTGACGAGGACACAAACCATGAAGGTTTGCCCTTTCATCTTTCAGTCAGTGTATCACAGCTAAATGCATCTCTCATTTGAACTTTTCCAGGTGGAACGGCGCCTGTTTTAAATATGATAAGTTTCACTCTGATGAAAATGTACCGAGGTGAAGTTGGCCGAACGTTTGATATTCGCCTGATATTCGAACAAAATCCCCCTGGATTCAAAGTCTGTCCGTATTTTCAGTTTAGTGAAGAGTGTAGTATTAAATACTGTTCACAATGTTGCCACCTATATAAAAAAACGTTACTTAGGCTGCAGCTTACGATTTATAACACGAAAAACAATGAAGATGAAGTCTCCGCTCATACTTGTGATAAGCTCTCAGCAAGGGACCGTCTGCAAAGTGCAAGATTTGACAGAACGTTGCAGATGGGTTGGTGAATACAATAAAAACTGCTTTTAAAAAGTAGTTTTTCCCAGTTTTGATGAGTGTAGCAGCTCCATTTGAACAATAGCTAGCTACTACAGGCAAGAATTTGGGAAAAATATGGTTTTCCCCTTCACAGTAACAAAAATGAATTTGGAAAAATTCACTAAAAATCAACAAAGACTTTTTTCCCAGATTTGATGGGTGTAGTAGCTCCATTTGAACACTAGCTAGCTACTACAGGCAAGAATTTGGGAAAAATATGGTTTTCCCCTTCACAGTAACGAAAATGAAATTGGAAAAGTTAACTAAAAATCAACAAAGACTTTTTTCCCAGATTTGATGGGTGTAGTAGCTCCATTTGAACAATAGCTAGTTACTACAGGCAAGAATTTGGGAAAAATATTGTTTTCCCCTTCACAGTAACGAAAATGAAATTGGAAAAATTCACTAAAAATCAACAAAGACGTTTTCCCCAGTTTTGATGGGTGTAGTAGCTCCATTTGAACAATAGCTAGCTACTACAGGCAAGAATTTGGGAAAAATATTGTTTTCCCCTTCACAGTAACGAAATTGAAATTGGAAAAATTCACTATTCACAATTTTTCCAATTTCAATTTTGTTACTGTGAAGGGGAAAACAATATTTTTCCCAAATTCTTGCCTGTAGTAACTAGCTATTGTTCAAATGGAGCTACTACACCCATCAAAACTGGGGAAAACGTCTTTGTTGATTTTTAGTGAATTTTTCCAATTTCATTTTTGTTACTGTGAAGGGGAAAACCATATTTTTCCCAAAATGTTGGCTGTAGTAGCTAGCTATTGTTCAAATGGAGCTACTACACCCATCAAAACTGGGGAAAACGTCTTTGTTGATTTTTAGTGAATTTTTCCAATTTCATTTTCGTTACTGTGAAGGGGAAAACAATATTTTTCCCAAATTCTTGCCTGTAGTAACTAGCTATTGTTCAAATGGAGCTACTACACCCATCAAATCTGGGGAAAAAAGTCTTTGTTGATTTTTAGTTAACTTTTCCAATTAAATGTTTGTTACTGTGAAGGGGAAAACCATATTTTTCCCAAAATGTTGGCTGTAGTAGCTAGCTATTGTTCAAATGGAGCTACTACACCCATCAAAACTGGGGAAAACGTCTTTGTTGATTTTTAGTGAATTTTTCCAATTTCATTCTTGTTACTGTGAAGGGGAAAACCATATTTTTCCCAAAAGTTTGGCTGTAGTAGCTAGCTATTGTTCAAATGGAGCTACTACACCCATCAAAACTGGGGAAAACGTCTTTGTTGATTTTTAGTGAATTTTTCCAATTTCAATTTCGTTACTGTGAAGGGGAAAACAATATTTTTCCCAAATTCTTGCCTGTAGTAACTAGCTATTGTTCAAATGGAGCTACTACACCCATCAAATCTGGGAAAAAAGTCTTTGTTGATTTTTAGTGAATTTTTCCAATTTCAATTTCGTTACTGTGAAGGGGAAAACCATATTTTTCCCAAAATGTTGGCTGTAGTAGCTAGTTAGTGTTCAAATGGAGCTACTACACCCATCAAAACTGGGAAAAATATATTTGTTGATTTTTAGTAAATTTTTCCAATTTCATTTTTGTTGCTGTGAAGGGGAAAACAATATTTTTCCCAAAAGTTTGCCTGTAGTAGCTAGCTATCATTAAATGGGAGCTACTACACCCATCAATTCTTGGAAAAATATCTTTGTTGATTTTTAGTCTTTATTAGTCGTTTTGACCTCTTGCAATTTGCAGACGGTCCCTTGCGAATATCAGGTGAATATCAAACGTTCGGCCAACTTCACCTCGGTTGAAAATGTTTTGCAAATTCTAGTAAGGGCAGTGCTCTAGAACGGATGCGCATCTAACCCATCTCAAGAGGGATATTCATATTTTGTCATACAGTTTGGCACAAATGACAACAAAAACATTATTTCGACTTTCTTTGGCACAAACCTGAGTGATTCTATCTATGCCAAATGTAACATGTACATTTCTCCTGTGTGAGATCAATAAAGTCTCATCTTATCTTATCAATTAAGGATTCATTCCAATAATTGAAAGTATTGTATTGTAAGTTAACGTCTGTAGAAATATATTATATAGTGGAGGAATTTGGGCCCAGCTTTACAGTTGAACATCCCTCTGTTATCATTATTTACATATGAGTGAAAATGGCCAAACTTAACGAATATTGGAAAATCTATTTTCATAACGTTGTGAAAAGTAAAGTCTAACCTGTCAAATCACTTTCAGTTAAAGACTCTTGACCTGAAGTAATGCTACTTTTTGTTAACAGATATTAATGATACATTTCCAGATCCATGGGCTGTCTCAAAAAGAGACAAGGTTTGTTTTCCTAACAACAACAACTCACTTGTTCTATTATGTCTGCCTGAATTATTAGATTTGTTCCCCCGTAGATACCTCGGGAAGTGCCTTCCATTTGCCGCTACTTTACGCCTGAGCAGTCACTCTTTTGTTCAACTTGTAAGAAGACCGGCCATCTTGCCAAAAGCTGTCAGCTACAAAAAGTATATATATATTTTTTAAGTGGTTAAACAAAATTTTATTTCAAAAAGTGACTATGTTTTAATGCTGATACTTCTTTACAGAAATGCATTGTCTGCATCCTTTGTGGGATTCAAGGTCATCTTCAAAAGCGGTGTCCAAGTCAACCTTGCTCCAGATGTGGTTCGCCATCTCATGGACTCAGGGCTTGTGACCGGCTCCCTGTGCGTAACCAGCACTGCCAGCGCTGTGGACTCACAGGGCACCTTTCTGATGTAGGTTCACTAAACTTTATTTTCCCAAATAAGGCATTATGTTGCATTGATTTTGTTTTGATTTTTTTTAATTTTTTAATTTTTTTGGATAACCTATTTGTTGGTTAGTCTGTTAACTTCTCAATGAGTGTGTTTACAAAGCACAAGTATACAGATCGCACCCTATCCTGTAGGATTTTCAAACAGGTCTGACAAGTTATGGTCCTGTCCCTATTAAAGTTTCAAGTCTTTAGGTGCTTTCTTATGGGGTGTTCAGACCGGATCATGCGTTGCAGCAACTTTAAATGCAGTCAATGGTGACGTCCGTTTGAGCCGATGGAATTGCATGTGCGACGCGGCACGCACAGCACATGCAATTCCATCAGTGCAGGAGCGGCAACTCGACGCAGGCAGGGGATGGACATTGCTGAACTTTTTCTGCTGGCCACACGTGCAGTGACCGATCAGAGATCCGCAAAGTGGTCACAAGGACACTAGCGGTCTGAGCGAGCAGCCTGAATACTCATAAACAGCCAAAACAGGAGCTAAACCAGGACTGACAATGGAGGACACAGTGCTTGTGAACATATGCTTCCAGCCAGAGTTCTCATTCTCCCGTCACTGCAAACAAGTGCTGCTAGCGTGTTTGCCAATGCAGATGCACCGTTTAGCTGCATACTTGGTGAAGAACTTTACACAAAAAACTAGCTTAACTAACTATGTTAGTTAAGCTAAGGAAAGCACAAGTCTCCCTACCTTTAGGAGTCATTTAAAAGTGTGGCTGAGGGACACACAAACATGTGATCATGTTTAGTTAATGATGATAGTTACAAAAGGGGATGCAATTATCAGTGTCATACGGGCTGTGCAATGGGAGTCTGTTGGGCATGGGTTATACAATGGGGGTTAGTGTAATGTGGGTCAGTGCAATATAGAATGGTGCAATATGGGTCAGTGCAATATTGGGTCTGTCAGGTTATGTGCAATATTGGGGTTTGTGCAATACAGTCGATGCTTTCCCGTTACTGTTTTTCTATATTGTCCTTTGTTGTCCACTCTTTTTATTGTTTGTTCTAACAAGTGATCACTGTACTCGTCCTTGTCTCTCTGTACATAGTCTGTATATAGTGTCTCTGTATGTTTTTACTAACCTATGCTTAACACCAACCTGCCAGGGGGTCTGCAGATGGAAATTAGCCTAAGGCTATAATCTGGCATATTTACATTTGTGAAAATGTTCATTAATATGTATTGTCCCTCCTTTTCAAATAAATAAATAAATAAATAAAAATAAAATGTTAGCATCAAATCCTGCCCGACTTCCGCCGTGTACAAAAGCAGGGCAGGGCATTCTGCGTCTTAAATTTAGTGAATGTGCGTGGAAGTTACGTTCAAGCGTCGGCGGTCTGAACGCCCCATTAGGCCCTGTTCAGACGGAGACACTGCAGAGATGCTGCAAAGCAATTTTCATTAAACGTCAGGCTCCGTTTAAGTGCTAAAACAAATGTAAGAAAACAATGTAGTTCTAGTGCCCGGCCAGCAGGGCGCAATAGACACGTGCAACCCAAGCCCTGGTGATCCCAGATGGCGCCCTATTCAAATTAATGGCTTGTGCTCAGTAGCGCATGGGACTTCACGGGGACCGGGAGATTAGCAGAACTCGCCCATATTTGGGCATCGTCTGGTCCTCCCGGTTCTGCGCAGTGGACGAGCTCCCATGATGCGCCAAATACGCGTGTGTGGCTCTCATGCAGTGGGGCTTGGCTGCGCTTTGACCAATCAGAGCTGCGGATCAGAGCTGCGGTAGAGCGGAGTCAGAGCGGGAAGGAAAGGAGCAGAGTTTGTGGCAGTAAAACATGGATTTAAAGAAAACTGAAAAAGAAGAGAAAAAATACGATCTTTCTGAAAGCTTTAGGTTCTCTGTCAGCTGAGGTCAAGCAGTTTTTGTTAAGTTTACATTAAGTTCTATGTGACTTTTTTCTGGGTAGCCCCACATTAATTTAGTCGGCAGTACCACGGGCGCCCCCTGTGGCCATGGGTGGACAGCTTTATGCTAGTAATACCCTATCCAGCTATTATAGATCCATTGTGCAACCCCACCAGTGCAATCACTTCCTCAACAACATCCTCCTCAGGCCACCGTAAAGCTGGCATAGAATGCAACAGCATCATTACACACTTAACAGTAGCAGCAAAAATGAAAACTGAAACTACGGCTTCACATGGTTTCCTTTGGAAGAACGAAGGTGTAGAATCTGTTCTGTTTCACGCTAGAGGCTGTTTCTCAACGCCCCCTTGAAACACCGTCTGAATGTGAACAAAAAGACAATCCAATACCCAACTCTATTGTTTTACTGTTGCAGCATCCCCGTGTAAACAGCTCCCACAACGTCTTTTAAATGTCACCTCATCAAAGTTTGTAAATAAAATTTACAATTCTACGATACACACACTATAAGAAAACACTCAGCATGTGTAATCACACATTATTGATTATTATTGATTTTCACATACGCTCATCTTTCTTGCTTTAGGTTTGCCCAGACACCTGGAGACAATATCATAACATGGTAAGAAGACGGACATTTTTTGTGTTGTATGTAGCATTTATCATATTAGATAAAATAATATTATTTTTCCCAGACAACAACAAAGACGTCCCTCATCATCAGAACACAAACTTTCCACACCGTTAAATGGAAGAGGCGGCCGGCATACTGTTACAACTGCTCCAGGAGAGGTCACTACGGCCATGTAGGGGAAATTAAGATTGTTTTGTGTAGTCATAATAATGATGTTGATATTAAGATGAGATTGTTTTTAGGAGTGCAGCCTTAATAGGATGCGGAGTTGGACTTTTGTCACTCTGCCTTATGTGTGCCACTATGACTCCACCCAAACAGCCCTTCAAAGCAGCACAAGAGACAAAAACGAAGGTGAATAATTTTGTTTTTATATAATAAATAAATGATTTATAGATACTGAAAACATTACACTTCCCACAATGCTTCTCACCTAAAATGTTTGATTTGCACTGGGGCTTAGGTTGTGGACATTTGGACAGCACACAACAATCTGTAGTTCAGTCCAAAATGATCTCCTGCATCCAAGCCAGCCTTGGACCCTTCAAACATACTCCCATCTGCCTGATCTTTGATTCTCAGCTTGATTTACACAAACGTGAAGAAAGAATAATAACACCCAATCCGAATTTATCACCTTCGCACAATCCATCCATCCATCCATTTTCTTCCGCTTTATCCGTTGCCGGGTCGCGGGGGTCAGCAGTCTAAGCAGAGACGCCCAGACTTCCCTATCCACACACACGTCCTCCAGCTCGTCCGGGGGGACCCCAAGGCGTTCCCAGGCCAGCTGAGAGACATAGTCCCTCCAGCATGTCCTAGGTCTCCCGCGAGGCCTCCTCCCGGTGGGACATGCCCGGAACACCTCCCCAGGGAGGCGTCCAGGAGGCATCCGGAACAGATGCCCGAGCCACCTCAACTGGTTCCTCTCGACGTGGAGAAGCAGCGGCTCTACTCCGAGCTCCTCCCGTGTGACTGAGCTCCTCACCCTATCTCTAAGGGAGCGCCCAGCCACTCTGCGGAGGAAGCTCATTTCGACCGTTTGTATCCGCGATCTCGTTCTTTCGGTCATTACCCAAAGCTCATGACCATAGGTGAGGGAGGGAACGAAGATTGACCGGTAAATCGAGAGCTTTGCCTTTCGGCTCAGCTCCCTCTTTACCACAACGGTCCGATACAGCGACCGCATCACTGCGCACGCTGCACCGATCCGCCTGTCAATCTCACGCTCCATTCTTCCCTCACTCGTGAACAAGACCCCGAGATACTTGAACTCCTCCATTTGAGGAAGGACCTCTCCACCCACCTGTAGAGGGCAAGGCACCTTTTTCCGGTCGAGCACCATGGCCTCGGATTTGGAGGTGCTGATTCTCATCCCAGCCGCTTCACACTCGGCTGCAAACCGCTCCAGTGCATGCTGCAGGTCCTGGTTCGTTGGAGCCAACAGGACAACATCGTCCGCAAACAGCAGAGATGAAATCCTGTGGTCTCCGAACCGGACCCCCTCCGACCCCTGGCTGCGCCTAGAAATTCTGTCCATAAATACAGTGAACAGAACCGGTGACAAAGGGCAGCCCTGTCGGAGGCCAACATTCACCGGGAACAGGTCTGACTTACTGCCGGCAATGCGAACACAGCTCTGGCTCCAGTCATACAAGGATCGGATGGCCCTCAGCAGAGGACCTTCGACCCCGTACTCCCGGAGAACCCCCCAAAGGACACCCCGGGTAACACAGTCGAACGCCTTCTCCAAATCCACAAAGCACATGTGGACAGGTTGGGCGAACTCCCATGAACCCTCGAGTATCCGATGGAGAGTATAGAGCTGGTCCAGTGTTCCGCGACCGGGACGAAAACCACACTGCTCCTCCTGGATCAGAGATTCGACCATCAGCCGTAGCCTCCTCTCCAGTACCTTGGAGTAGACCTTACCGGGGAGGCTGAGGAGTGTGATCCCACGATAATTGGAACACACCCTCCGGTCCCCCTTCTTGTAGAGAGGGACCACCACCCCGGTCTGCCACTCCATTGGCACCGCCCCCGATCGCCACGCGATGTTGCAGAGACGTGTCAGCCAAGACAGTCCTACAACATCCAGAGACTTTAGATAATCAGGGCGGATCTCATCCACACCCGGAGCCTTGCCACCATGGAGGCTGCCAACCACCTTGGTGACCTCAGCCAGGGAGATGGAAGTATCCGCCCCAACATCCTCAGCCTCAGCCTCTGTAACAGAGGACGTGACGGGGGGATTGAGGAGAACCTCAAAGTATTCCTTCCACCGCCCGACAATATCCCCAGTCGAGGTCAGCAGCTCTCCACCCGCACCGTACATGGTGTTGGCAAAGAACTGCTTCCCCCTCCTGAGGCGCCGGATGGTTTGCCAGAATCTCTTCGAGGCCGACCGATAGTCATGCTCCATGGACTCTCCGAACTCCTCCCAGTCCCGGGTTTTTGCCTCTGCAACAGCCCGGGCCGCGGCACGCTTGGCCTGCCGGTACTGGACAGTTGCCTCAGGAGTCCCCCGAACCATCATGGCTCGATAGGACTCCTTCTTCAGCCTGACAGCATCCCTTACTGCCGGTGTCCACCACCGGGTTCGGGGGTTGCCGCCGGGACCAGCACCAGAGACCTTGCGACCACAGCTACGAGCCGCCGCATCGGCGATTGAGGCAGAGAACATGGTCCACTCGGACTCCATGTCCCCCTCCTCCGCGGGGACCTGGGAGAAACACTCCCGGAGGTGTGAGTTGAAAGTCCGTCTGACAGGGGGCTCAGCAAGACGTTCCCAGCAGACCCTCACTATACGCTTGGGTCTGCCAGGTCTGACCGGCTTCTTCCCCTGCCAGCGGATCCAACTCACGACCAGGTGATGATCGGTTGACAGCTCCGCCCCTCTCTTTACCCGAGTGTCCGAGACACGCGGTCGAAGGTCAGATGATACGACAACAAAGTCGATCATCGACCTCCGGCCTAGGGTGTCCTGGTGCCACGTGCACTGGTGAACACCCTTGTGCTCGAACATGGTGTTTGTGATGGACAAACTGTGACTGGCACAGAAGTCCAACAACTGTACACCGCTCGGGTTCAGATCAGGGGGGCCGTTCTTCCCGATCAACCCTCTCCAAGTGTCACTGGCGTTTCCCACATGGGCGTTGAAGTCCCCCAGGAGAATAACGGGTACTGGCGGTGCACCGTCCAGTACCCCTCCCAAGGACTCCAAGAAGGCCGGGTACTCTGCACTGGTGTTAGGCCCGTAGGCCGTCACAACAATGAGAGACTTGTCCCCCACCCGGAGGCGGAGGGACGCGACCCTCTCATTCACCGGGGAGAACTCAAACACGTGGCGGCTGAGATGGGGGGCAATGAGAATGGCCACCCCAGCTCGCCGCCTCTCCCCGCGGGAAACTCCAGAAAAGTGGAGCGTCCAACCCCTCTCAAGGAGTTGGGTTCCAGAGCCCAAGCTGTGTGTGGAGGTGAGGCAGACTATCTCTAGTCGGTATCGCTCAACCTCCCCCACGAGCTCAGGCTCCTTCCCCCCCAGTGAGGTGACGTTCCACGCCCCTTCGCACAATCTTTTAAGAGAAAAAAATGTGCTTCATAAAGCTGTCAATGCCCTTATCTTCAATTCCCTCTCAGGCCTCCAGCACAGTGTGAATGTATCGGCCCAGTTTTAGCTTCTCTCCACTGGCTCCCTGTGCATGATTTTACTCACTGCTTTTAAAGATTGCAACCTTAGAATCTGAGGAGATGAGGCAAGTTCTATCAGGACCATCATTGAAATCACTTCTCAAAACTCAAAAGTGTATGATGTTTTCAGTCTTTTTGTACGCTTTTGTGCTTGTACTAATGCGTTAATCTTTTAAAAGGTGCTAGATAATAGATTTTATATTTTTTCTTCGCACTATTTTTTGTTTGTACAATAAAGTAAAGTTTTTTACTGTAGTAGTTTCCTATTATATGCAAATCAATTTTTATATTGCGGTCTTATTATTTCAGGTATGACCAACAAAACTTTTCCAGCTGAGCAACAAGCATCATTAGAAACCTTTGGGAGCGATATCAGTTTCCAAAAAAGGATTCAAAAGTCACTGGCAAATGAAAGGAAGACTTGGCCAGAGCGACGCAGGGAACGACGAAATGTGAAGAAACTGAGAAGGGAAGCCCAAGCCAGAAGAGAAGGAGGATTGATGGGGAAGATGTTGCATAAAACTGAAGATGACATTTTATATTTAGGCCAATTTGAAGCCAGCAATCCCTGGAAATACACATGTCCGTCAAAGAAGGTTGAGATGACATATAGCCTAAAAACCAAAAATGTTAAAAGGACACAAAAAGAGCGTTCGAAAACTAAACTCAGTAAAAATTATGATTTTCCTCATCTTCGAGAGAGGGGCATGAAAGATTTGCTTCTATCTCCCAAACAAAGAGTGCGCCATAGAAGAAGATGAAGTCGCTCCAATTTGATTGATTATATTAATGAATGAAATATATTTAATTTTCCGCAAGTTGTTTTTTTGTATGAGTTTAACTTTACATTATGCTAGATAACCAGTGTTTGAAAAATTATGGTAATCTTTAATATATTACTGGTTCAAGAGATTCAAAAAGGTTTGTATTACATTATCACTGAGTCACGCTTTGTTTAAATTGAAAACAAATAATTCTTTGATGGCCTATTTGTAGTGCCCAAGAAGTATTTAACTGTTTAGTTGGAAATGGAAGTAGGTCAGCCTTGTAAATGTATCCCGTTTTTATGCATTTTTTTCTTTGGAATATCAATGCCATTGATGGAATATATTACTGAAATAATTGTTGTGATTTGTACTAGATGTGTACAGTCTATGCTTGTAATTCTCAAATACAAATGTAATGTTAATGGCCTCTTATTACCAGCATGACTCTGTGTGTTAATATGTGTGTACACATGATTATTGTTGGAGAATATATGTATACATTATCAGTACGGCCATGAAAGGCGCTTTACAATTTATGGAATGATGCTTCTAAATTATTAATGAGGTGAGTAGCTGCCTGCAACTTGTCAGACCACTATAGTCGATCTGGAGTGTGTCTGTCATATCACTGCAAAAAATAAGATGTACAGAAGTGACGGGACTTGGATTGATGACATCTTATCACTACAACCGCGCCTCCGCTTTCACTCGGTGGTATGTGTTCACTGTGATTACGAAGTGAGCATGAGTATAGTGTTTCATTGCGCCACACACATCTGTGATCGATTACGCATGTCTAGCACAGGACTAGAGCCCCCATTGATTGATCTTCCCTGCTCCCCGTTGACACCAGAGAAAACAGGCGACAGCGAGAGGGCATTTAAATCACACGTACGTTCACCTTAAATCAGGGGAAAGGTAGCGTATGCATGTGTCCTCTAGGCTGTACTCATCCGTCGATGAAGCGGTCTTCACACTACAGCGACGCTCGCCTACGTTAGCTAGCCCGCAATGTCGGTTGTGATGGATCTGTTTTCTTGCGTTATTATCCCGCTTCCTGTTAGCTCGGGGCGAAATCGTACCAAGAAGCAATAACATTTACCCCAAACATAGGGGTATAACTTTACGCACGGCCCTGTTTGACTATCGCTTATTCGCAGTTGTACACAATGTTTAACTTCGCAAACAGAGCTTTTTTGAGCAGCTGATCGCATAGCGGACCGGGAGCTAGCCATCTTGCTTGTTGAATTCATGCATTAAACCGCCCGCAACTACACAGTTTAAGTTTGTGAATGTGAAGTATGTTTGGTTCTGTTTTTTATAGAATGTTTTGAGATGTTTGGTTTAAAATAGTTTGTAGTGATACATCAAAACTTCAGTCTCAGGGTTGGATCACAGACAATGTTTTGCTGCATCTAAAAGAAATACATTCAATGCATGTATGACGAAAACGTGTTAAACAGGTTAGATGTATATTGTGTAGCAAAGACAGCCCGAGCAGTGGACGAACTGGTGCAGAGGGTGTATATGTGCTGCGTAAATTCAAGGTAATAGAAGGGAGGGAGCCAGGTGGAGAGCTGATTTACCCGCGTTAGGAGACATCTCCCCCATCATCCCTCTGTGCCTGCACCATGGACCCCCCCAGGACTCGGTCTCGGTCCCGCTCAGGCTTCTTTCACTTCGCCTTGAACGGAGGCGTGAACAACGGTGGCACGTCCTCTGGTAGTGGGCTGATGAATGCCAGTGGAGGAGGATTGAACTACCCCCAGCAGACCACCCCCGGCTGGGCTCATCACCATGGTGGTCGCAGTCACCCAGAAAGCCTGCAGCACTCACAGGGGGGCTATCTGCCATCAGGAGCAGTGCGTCACCCAGCACATGGACCCCACAGACACCATCCTGGAGGAGGTGAGTGAACTTCCGTGACGGGAGCATAAGCCAGACCTCCCTGGTAGGGCTGCCAAAAGTATCGAGTAACAAAACTAGATACTGTTATATCATTACAGTGGGACAAAATTTGACATTTCTTTAGAAATTCTAAACTGAATATATCTGAATAACTTGTATGCAGCAGTATATCCTCATACATTAAATCCATAAATGATTGTTATTTTGTGTTAAAAAAAAAAAAAAAAAAAAAAAAAATTGTCCAAAAAGAGCATGTATTAATGATTGCTGTGGTATAAAACGTAGTATGTTTTCTAATATCAAAATCGATTTTGAATTGTAGTATTGTGACTACTCCCAGGTAGATGGGAGCTTTAAAACCAACAAGGCTTGGTGCTGTCAATTGCTGGAAGGAATATGCACAAATCAAAATTGTTTAAATGAAAGAATATAGGGCTATTAGGCTTTCTTATAAACATGGTTGAAATCACACTCCCTTGTCTTTGAACTGTGAGGTGAATAAAGTCATGCCAAGGTTGAGTCTTGGCATGGCTCTACAGCTTAATTTGTGGTAAATGAGTAGTTCTCTATATATTGTCTGCTGTTGGCTAGTCACTTACTGACTCCTCTCTGTTCTGCAAAGCCACTGGCGGGGTGTCTTTGAGCTGTCACTATCAGCAGCCTTCACATGGCTGTGGAGTGGCGTCACAAAGACAAGAAAGAGGAGTGGGATAGCTTTCTGATCTGTCTTTTTCAGTGGAAAAAACACAAAGACGCTTGCAAGAGTGTGCCCTGTTTTTTTTTATTACACTGCCACTTTAAAGTGCACATTTTATATGCAGATGACACAATCTGATCCAAATCTCAATATATAGAAATAAAAAAAGAATGGCTTAATTAAAAGATCGATCCATCCATCCATTTTCTTCTGCTTCATCCGTTGCCGGGTCGCAGGGGCAGCAGTCTAAGCAGAGACAGCCACTTCTGTATCCACACACACTTCCTCCAGCTTGTCCGGGGGGGACCCCAATGCGTTCCCAGGCCAGCTGAGAGACATAGTCCCTCCAGCGTGTCCTGGGTCTTCCCCTGGGTCTCCTCCCGGTGGGACGTGCCCGGAACACCTCCCCAGGCGTCCAGGAGGCTTTAAAGATCCAACCAAAGAAAACTTATAGTGCTATATTAAACACAGTTTAAATCCTGAATTATTTTATTCCATTGCTTTTTATAGTATTGCTTTCATCAGGTTTGACGAACACTTTGGCATCATTTCAGGAACTTTCCTACAAAAAATAAATTGGGCAGCAGGGGTTAGTGTGGAGTTTGTTGTTTTAGTGAGCATCTGTCCATGTGTCTTGTGATGCCGTTGTGATGCTGTTCTGAGCCCTCTTATCTGATTATGTTTCCTCCCTCTGTGGCCTCCAGGAGGAGTGTTACATTTTCATCCAGATAATGTGTTTGGAGAGGATCGGGACAAAGTATGTATGAAAGATGAGAATTCTGGCCTTGCCTCACTATATTTACGGTCCTTTTTCTTGTTTTCCTAATGATCACTTTTGGATGTATAGATGGACGATAGCCCTAGTCCCAAAAGGCAGCGTCTCACACAGCAGTCCATGTTGGACCTCAGCTCTGGACCCCCCTCAGCACCCTCCTCCCCCATGCGCCCCTGGGAGCTGCCCCACAGTCGCAGACCTCATCCTCACTACATGCCCGAGCGGTGCCACACGCCAGTCCGGAACCGCCGCAGGTACATTCACACACTGCAGCACTATGCCACTGTCAATTTTATGCAAAAAATATTAATTATGGGGATTTACGTCATCATTATGATCCAATTATACATTTAATAATGACGTATTCTCCTAAAACAACTGTAGTACTACTTTGTGTTTAAGAAAAAAATTGTTTAGTTAATTTGTTTATTATCTTTTTCCCTTTTTTTTGTCATATCTTTTTCGGTAGCCCTCCCATTAGGCGTCAGCGTGGTCGTAGAGATCGTCTGACCCGACACCACCATCCAAGCCACAACAGTCACCATCATTACAACAACAGCCACCACCTGCACCCGCACCACGGCCCCCCCCCTGTGCGCCAGGACGAGAACTATCGCCACCCGGCTGCTCCTTCAGGTTACTCCCCGTACAATCAGCCGCCACAGCGAGGGCCTGGCCCAGACGAGCGCCCAGGGTTCCATCCTCAAAACCCCTCTCCCAGACCACTGCACCACTCACCCAACATCTCCCCCAGACTGCTGCACCCACATCCACACCCACCCCAGCAGCAGGGCAGCATGGTCCTGGACCTCCATGAACAGGTGTGTGTGAGTCTAGGACAAAGCTACCATGACAACTTCTCAAATGCTAAATGTTACTAGGCTTCTGTATCTGTTTGCAAACATTAAACAGTTAAATAAAACATACAGGTTACATGGACAGATCCACTTTTGTTGGTCCATCTCCTTACAGAAGGTGATGCACCAGTGCAGGAGTCAGATTTATTGTGAATGGGGCATTCCTAACAAGCTCTGGTTTACATTGAGCGGCATATGTAAACATGATTGGACTGTGCGTCTGAGGTGTGAGAGGATGAAGGGGGAAGTGAGCGCAGACACAAATGATCACTGTGCAGAGGACAGAGGGTTTAACAATTTCCAATAACAGCTGGCAAGTGTCCGCGGGCCTAAAGGAATGGTGAATTGGGGCCTATTTTAAGTGTTCATTAAAATGCACTAAATGGAATTTTCAAAACCTCACAGCTCAGGACTGACTTACACTTGTGTGCATGCAGGTTTTGAATTATTAAATCCTATACGATTGGCAACTCTGAATTATTAGAAATCTCATAAGATATGTCTAATTTGGGGTTAGATTTTAAAGTCTTTTCCCACTGCCTTTTGAATATATTGAAATTGAATGTTATTCCTGTATCTATTGTTCATTTTGCTGAGGGACAGTACCTTCTCTGAACATACGGTGTGTTAATATTCAGGGTTCAGTCCCCGGATCATACCCTGTGTCGCCGCCCGTTGCTCCATCAGGTCTGCCTCCGCGCTCAGCCCCACAACAGATGCCAGCGTGCTCTGTGGTCTTCAGCGGACAGCATTACCCAGTCTGCAGTGTTCCTCCTCCTGTGAGCTGGACATTTACTTATTCATTGTTATATCCAAATGTACTTTCCATAAAGACTAAGTTGTGTTTTCTATTCTGCTAGGTTCTTCAGACTTGTTCAGTGCAACATTTACCAATGCCCTACCCATTCCCATCACTGATATCCAGTGATCCCACCTTCCTCCTGCCTCCACACCTACCCCACCCCTCAGCTCATCTGCCCCATCACTCCACACATCTGCCCCAGCCAGGACCATTTGGGCCATACCCAGCACAACAGGCGCGATCTGTAAGTTTCAGGCCATGAAAGTACTTCAAATGTAACTTTTTGGATGACTGTCATTTGTCACTTGTAGCCATTACAGAGAATAGAGAATGATGTGGAGTTGCTTGGGGAACACCTGTCTTTGGGGGCTGGTCTCCATTATCCTCCGGCCACTCACCCGACCCTGACTCCACACTCCACCCAGCTCCACTTCCTGTCCCATGACCCTATTCCACAGGAGTTTTTTGGCGTGGTGAGATTTGACTCGTGTTTTATATATAATTTGAATCATGTTATGACTTGGGAATGTTAACTTTTGTTTTCATCCTACCTAGTCCTATCCTAATTTTATACAACGACGAATCCCAGGTCGACGCTATCGTTCGCAACAGCCACTGCCGCCTTCGCCTTACCACCCCAGCCTTCTGCCTTACTTTCTGTATGTTATTTATAGCGTAGTTCAATATTTTATATTATTAAAGTGAATAATGTGATGATTATTATTATTTGATTTAATTCTATAAAAAAATATTATCTGTGTAGTTCGATGCTGCCAGTCCAGCCAACCGGTCCCGCAATCAGCCTCGAGCTTGACGTTGATGACGGAGAAGTTGAGAACTATGAGGTGATCTTTCTTTCTCTCGTAACCCTAGCTAATAATATGTGCAAATGCTGATAATGGCCTCTGCTGTGCTGCAGGCTCTGTTGAACCTCGCCGAGCGCCTGGGAGAAGCAAAGCTTCGTGGGTTAACCAAGGGAGACATCGAACAGCTTCCTTCGTACCGGTTCAATCCCAATAACCATCAGTCTGAACAAACACTGTTAGTATTATTTATCTGTTAACTTTGATCTAAACCAGGACTCGTCTTAAACACGCCTCCTCTTTTCTTCCAGGTGCGTGGTTTGCATGAGCGACTTTGAGTCTCGTCAGCTGCTGCGGGTACTACCATGCAGCCATGAGTTTCACGGAAAGTGTGTGGACAAGTGGTTGAGGGTAAGTATCCAAGAGGTCAAGTATCCAAGAGGTCAAGTATTCAAATTATTGGTAATATTTAGCCACAAGAGTATTAACATGTTTTCCAGTTTGTCTGAATTGTTTTGGGGAGGCAGAGCCTCACCTGCCATCAGTGAAAAAAATAATGATTTTAGTTGTAATATATAATTTGTTTTCCACTGTCCTATGATTTTAATGTATTTTAGGCATGGCTCCGACCAGTTTTGATCATTTCTGTAATCAAAATTGCTGAAATCCTATTTTTCCTATTCAAAGAGACGAGGTAAGGCAGCTCCCCTGCGTGCCTCACCCCAGATCGCTCGCTCCTTCACAGTGGATTGTGCGAGTGCACTCAGCTCATGCTGTTGATGTATTGCTGTTTGTTTCAAATATCCTGCTTAGAATTTTTTTTTTAAACTTCTCATTGTTTTTAGTAATGTATTGCTATATTTAGTTTAAGTGTTTTGATCGGAGAAGAATACACAAGCCTTGAGGCAGGCAGTGTCTGTGCCTCACCGATAGGGGACGATACTTGCTGGAAAATGAATGATTTGGCTGAATTTTTTTTAATCAACTGGAGTTTCAATCAAAGCAAGAAATAATATAGACTGATAGACTGCCACTGGACTTGGTTTATCCGGCCGCGGTGGGAGGAATTTGTCAATCTGTGTTTTATGTTGGAAATTGACCAGATAGCTGCATAAAAGTTCTTCCCCGAAAAACACCAATTCAAACACTGCTCAAGAGTTCCGCAACTTGTTTAAATGTTCTTGTTCCTCTGTCTCTCTCCTCCTCGCGTCTCTCTCCTCTCCTCTCTCTCCTCCCTCTCTCTCCTCCTCCCGTCTCTCCCTCTCGCTCTCTCTCCCTCCTCCCCGTCTCTCCCTCCCTCCCTCCTCGTCTCTCTCCCCGTCTCTCTCCCTCCGTCTCTCTCCTCCTCCCCTCTCTCTCTCCCTCTCTCTCCCTCCCGCTCTCCTCCTCTCTCTCTCTCTCTCTCCTCCTCCCCGTCTCTCTCCTCCTCGCTCTCCCTCTCCGTCTCTCTCCTCCGCGTCTCTCGCACCAGTGCTTCTTAAAGATGTTGTCTGATGCGGAGCAGAGTCAGCACCTAGATGTGTTGTGGGATTATTAAAAGACGCTGGTTCTCTTATCTTTACAATATATATAGTTTGTGGACGTTATTGCATTGGCGATTTAATGCTATTTTACTAGAATAATGATGGTAAATCTGACTTTTAAAATCAGTGCCTCCCCAATCACAATCCTCATCGTTCGTCACTGGTACTAACAAGTGGCAGGAGTCTTTGTGAAGGCCCTGTAACATTGGCTTCTGACAAACCTCTGCAACACGAGTCATCTAAAATGTGCCTAAATGTGCTTTGAAAATGTAAAAGGGTAGAGCTGTTGTCTGGGAGTTGAGTGTAGAATTTAGAATGACCAGCTGTTTGTTTTGACAGTTTCCCTTTCACAGTTGAGACAATTCTCACTAAAAAACATAATGAAGCAAAATGTTGGAATACATGTACATTTCTTATAACCCTTAGTGCACATTTGTACTAAGTTTTATTTGTGAGTTCCTCCAATTCATCACTGAAGGAGGATATTGATTGTTTGTATTTAACGCTTTTTTCCCTCCCACCATCCCAGTATATTGGATCATCTATCAAATGTGGTTTTATATTGTTGTGTCACAAGAATTTCACCAATTGCTGTGCATTTCTCTTTACAAGGTGTTTGCTGTTTGCGTGATCCTGAGGTTCATTTGTAACACAAGCTGTGTGTTTTCATTGTCACCAGGCTAACAGGACATGCCCTATTTGTCGAGCTGATGCCTCCGAAGTACACCGGGACTCGGAGTGACCACAAGAGGGCGCCATTCACTCGCTCTTCACCTTCAGCACTGCCCGTTACTGACCCATTGAAATGAGTGCACAACCACTTCTCACTTTTCACTCATGTCTTTTTTCGCAGCACTTTTGTCTAATATACTAATTTATGTATTTGTCTCTCAAGGTCATCTGATATGTGTACTTTTTGTGTTCACTATTAGCAGTGCATGTGTGTGGAGCTCTGGGAGCATGTGCTCCTCCTTCCAGAGGACGACATTCTTCCAGATGCCCGAGTTTTGTTGTACGTTAGAGTTTTTTGCTCTACTTCCTGTTTGTATGCACTGTGAGATAACAAGTGGAACATTCAAACCTTAATTTTGCCACTAAGGGTCCATATGACGTGATGATTATGGATAATAATTGTTATTAATATTATTAGCATCATTTAGCCATGATTGTTTTCATCTACCAATTACCTCGTCATTCCTGTTATGGTCCCAATTCATTTAACGTGCTTCACACAAGTAATAAGCACATTATGTATACTTTTCTTGTGGGTTATTGGGGAAATACACTTTGTCTGTGTTTTTTGCAGTGGCACATTGTGTTACATGTATACAATATCTATTAATATACTGTAAAAACATGATCTGTATACCAAATAAAAGGCTTGTTAAGAACTTTTTAATTGTGTCTATATTTTTCAGTTTGTTTGTTTTCTCAAATGTATTGTATTACGGCAATTCCATTTGTATTCATATCAGTGAAGACAAAAATAATGGTGGTGATCCTCTGCTGCTGCTTTACCGAGATAATGGTTCCACCGCTGCTCAGAGACTGCGGTAAAGTGGACTGGCTTTACATAGTCTGTGGATGGCCACACGTGTTCACTGTGATGCCCTCTACTACTGTGCAAAAAACATTCATTTTCACTCTGGAAATTCAAAGAAAATGGTTGTCAACGTGCAATATTGGTCCAAAATGCACTTTTTGAAATCAATTTTCAAACAAATCTGAAAGATATGCAAATGTCCCGCCCTGCATGTAGTCCCAGGTTTATATGGCTGCGCTTAAGGAAATCCTTATTTAATTTTAAACATTTTGTATAAACATAATAACCAATCCTTTCAGACTTTTTTAAAAGTGCAATTTGGGCCAATATTGCACATTTTTCTTGCCATTTCCACAGTAAAAGTGAATTACTTTGCACAGTAGTTGAGGGCAAGTGTGCAGTGAATGAAGTCGCAAAACTCTTAGATTTTTGTTGTCAAATTAATTATAAATGGTGCATTTTGATGTGGTCCGCTCGCCAACATAAGCAATACACATTTGAAAGAGTAAATCTTACAAAAATGTTTCACACTGGCAGTACATTTGCGTTTGAAAGTTCTACAAATTGAAATGATAATATCAGGAAAAAAAAACGGGCTACTTTTATGTAGAAAGCATAATTGAGTGTTGATTATCATTGATATACATTTTAATTATGATTGATTCTTGACCTGTTAAGTTATTTTACAAGTCAGGTCAGTGGAGAGGCCAGTTCTGAATGTACATGTTTGAATTTTTCATATTAGAACAATTGATCTATAAAAGGTCATGTGTTAATTACGTTAAATTCAACATATAGTGCAGGTGGACCAGCCACCAGATGACGTAATGCCTCTGTAGGCGCAGTGTAAGTAAATAATGTTTATGTATTTATTTATTCAGAGTTCAGATATTGTTCCAATTATTCCACACACAGTGATGATGGAAGCAAGTCGCCGAACACACTGGACCATCAGCCCCCAACCAACACCATCCATTCACTCTCTCATTTACATTCATACCTATGTTTTTAGTGGTAGGGGAAACGGGAGCACCCGGAGGAAACCTACACAGACACAGAGAGAACATGCGAACTCCACTCAGAAAGGCACTATTCCGACCCAGGACCTTCTTGCTGAGAGGCGAGAGTGCTGTCCACTCAGCCACCGTGCCACCCAGTGTGTCAGCATGTGTCTCCTCTTGCCATGTCCTCACGTTGATCTGTGGGTAATATTTATTTCAGAGGGATTTCCCGCGTCAGTGCTGGCTGCTGTTGCGGTGTCATGATGCTGAGCTGTCAGGGTTCATCAGTGTCGCAGGAGAGCATGAGAAGTGACAGACAAGAGTTGAGGCTGTGAATAACAAATGGCCGAAGAAGCACTGTGGGACCCCCACCACCAGGCTTTGATACGGGGAGCCAATGACAGGGCCCTGCAGTACATATGGTACACTTTGCACAGGGTGGGGAAGGCTCTGGGACAGGGGGGTGACAACGAGAGCTGCCACCCAATGCTTATAGAACCAGCCCCTCGCTGGTCCTCTGGCAGGTGGTGGGTCTACAGGAAGATGGCTGCTCCATCAGCGGGGACACAGCCTTGGTCTTTCAGTGTTGAACAAAACTATTTGATGAGCACATATCACCAGAGTGAGTGACAATTGGGAGGACCTATAGTCTTGATGATCCACCCGGAAGTAGAAAATCCTACAATATACTTTTAATCTTCCTTCGTTAGTATGATGGAAGAAATCTTATATCACTGGCGATCATGCTATTGTATATATTGTATCCATCCAGCTCGACTACATCCATCCATCCATTCTCTTCCCCTTTATCCATTTCTGGGTCGGGGCCATCTTCTCCAGCTCAATGTTTATTATTGTTATGTATGTACTTTTAGCAATTGTATCTGTCCACATTTGGGTTAATCCTTATATAATAACTATTAAAAATTGTTCTAAAAATAAAACTATCTAAGAATGAGTCTCATCCTTAAATTATTCCCATATATACAATAAGTCTGGTTTTAAACCTGTCGATCTGGTCAAACTTTGGACTCCTAGGACATAAATCAAACTGATTTTGGTACTTAACCAGGGGGCCTGCAGGAGGAATGTAGTGCTTGACAATCACAATTAAAATCCTCAACCACATTTTCTACCAAATTCTGCTCCAAAGATTGAGAGTGCCTTTTTGAGCTCCATGTATAGTTCAACAAATATCATGGTATATTGAAGGTGAGATAGTGAGTGAGGGTACAATAAGTGATGGGTAAGTCGAAGCCCCATGGTGTTCACAAAGCAACAAATGATCCAAGGACAGAGAAACGAGAAAGAAAAAGTTCAGAACGTCCACACTGATATCTTTGCGGTAATATTTTAGTATTGCAGAGATCCATGTTGAAAACCGATTTTGAACTGAATAACTCAATAATTATATCAATCATTTTGTCCACACTGTACAACAGCCTGAGACCTGCCTGTCTCTCAAAATAAACATGTGATGATACAATAGTCCTTTTCTCCGCTTCAGCGCCGGGCTCAGCCGGCAGCACCGACCACACAATATTACCAAAGTGCCACATGACATTGAGGCGGACTGATGTCAGCGCCCTCAGGCTGCATCTTGGACACAAATCTAACCAAATGCACTGCACCGTGCGCCAACAACCGCCTGAAGACGTTTTGACCAACTGTAGCGTCTCAAACAGGCTTATTGTGTCGTAGTGGTCATCACTATACAATCTTTTCACAAGGATGAACATTTAAAACTTAACTGGATGATTTGATTAAGAAATAACATTGGAATTTATGTTTTTTAATCATAAAATCCAAAAAATGTAGATTAAGTCATTGTAAACACCCTGGACATGGGAAAAGAAAACAAAAAGACATTGAATAACCAAATAGAACTCTTTCATTGTGCATTGGTGTTAAAAAGCAACCAAACGAAAGGTTCCTTAAGCTAATCACTCTTCCTTGTCCGCACTGAATAGAGCAGAAGTAATATCACATGTCCAAAGAATGGATATTCTTATATTTTTCAGGTTTAGGCATGTGTGAGTTGTGGCAGGATATCAAGAGGTTTAAAGAGTGTTATCTGAGCCACAACCCGTTCTATCAACAGGGACAGAGCGAAACAAATGCTGTCGACCACGTCTTCGCCATCATAGACATATTCATTCTTATATCAAGAAAATATGAGATGGTTGACCTATAAATATATATGTCCCCTCTTGGAATGCTGTGACCAGGTGGCTGGCATAGTGTTCAAGAACATCTGAGGTCACAACGTGCTGGAGAAGGAGCGAGCAAAAGTCCTGTGAGACTTTGTGATACAGACTGACAAGATGGTAATGACGAACCAACCAGACACCGAGGTGCTGGACAAAGGGCAGAAGAAAGCCGTGGTGGAGGCCTGGATGGTGGTGAAGTGGCAGTAGTGGTGATCGGTGCACTCTTGGCAGTGACACCGAAGTTGGAGGAGTGGTTACAGCAGATCTCTAGAACAACCTCGGGAATCTCGTCCCAAAAATGTGCAGTGCTAGGAACAGCAAAGATACTGCACAGAACCCTCAAGCTCCCAGGCCTCTGGTCGAGGACCCGAGCACAAAGAGAGAGGGATAACTGCCCGTGGGAGAGGAACGTAGAAAATCTTTTTTGTTGTTGTACAAATCTAATGATGTGGACCTTTTTGAATATTTTGACCTGGTTTTATTTTACTATATTTCTTGTTGTAGTTTGAGTTTGCTTTCTGTCTCCTGTTGATGGTTTGCCCTGCCCTAATGTGACTCACCATGTCTCCCTGTGTGTATTTATTCCTTATGCCTTTCCCCATTTATTGTCTGTTCATTGTCTATACCACGTTTGTTCCTGGCTTGTTTAAGGTTCTGTATTTTGGCATTACCTTGGATTCATTTTAATAAAAATAAAAAAAAACTATATTTTCAGTTCTGCATTTTGGGTTCACTTTTCATATCACCCCATGACAACAAATGATTTTGAAGAAATGTCTGATAACATGAGGTGCAGGGGAAAAGTCAGCACATGAGATAAAAGAAAGATGAAAATGTGAGCAGGCAAACAAAATGGGATGTTCTTTCTCAAAGTGACAGGAGGCAAAGCTGAAGGCAATGATGAAGCAGAGACCTCCCTATCCACATGCACTTCCTCCAGCTCATCTGGGGGTGTTCCCAGGCCAGCTGAGAGACATAGTCCCTCAAA